CCAAGGCAACAGCCGGAAGGGCGCCAGTCACATATGGGGAGTAAGTGAAGTGACTGGAGATGGAGCGAGTGCCAGGCAAACCTCCAGAATCCAGGCAGCAGCACTGTCTACTCTCTGAGCCCTCACCCCACACAGAGCAAAGCAGTGAAATGGGTTGCCCCGCCCTGGCCATTACCTAAGGCTCTGCCCCACACGATTTGCAGGTGCCTTTTCTACAATAGGCCATGCTACTGGGACATGGAGTCAAAGCAGCTCTACCTAATACACAGAAACAAACACAGGGAGGCTGCCAAATTGAGGAGACAAAGAAATATGGACCAAATGAAAGAGCAGAATAAAACCCCAGGAAAAAAAAACTAAACAAAATAGAGATATCAACCTATCAGATGCAGAGCTCAAAACACTGGTGATCAGGATGCTCAAGGAGCTCATTGAATATGGCAACAACATAAAAAAGACCCAGGAAGAAATGAAGGTACATTAAGTGAAATAAAGAAAAATCTACAGGGAACCAACAGTGGAGGGGAGGAAACTAGTATTCAAATAAACCATTTGGAACATAAGGAAGAAATAAGCATTCAACCAGAACAGCAAAAAAAAAAAAAGATATTTTTAAAAAAAGGATAGTATAAGGAGTCTCTGCTACAGCTCTACACAAACCAACATCCAAATCATAGGGATGCCAGAAGGAGAAGAGTAAGAGTAAGAAGCTGAACACTTACTTGAAAAAATAATGAAATAGAACTTCCCTAATTTGATGAAGGAAATAGACATATGAGTCCAGGAAACACAAAGTCCCAAACAAGTTGGACCCAAAGAGGAACACATCAAGAACATCATAATTAAAATGCCAAAGGTTAAAGGTAAAGAGAATCTTAAAAGCAGCAAGAGAAAAGCAGAGAGTTCCTACAAAGGAGTTCCCATAAGATTGTCAGCTGATTTCTTGAAAGAAACTTTTCAGGCAAGAAAGGACTGGCAAGAAATATTCAAAGTGATGAAAATCAAGGACCTACATCCAAGATTACTCTATCCAGCAAAGCTATCATTTAGAATGGAAGGGCAGAAAAAGTGCTTCCCAGACAAGGTAAAGCTAAAGGAGTTCATCATCACCAAGCCATTATTATATGAAATGTTAAAGGGACTTATTTAAGAAAAAGATCAAAATTATGAACATTAAAATGGCAACAAATTCACAACTATCTACAACTGAATCTAAAAAAGACAAACTAAGCAAACAATCAGAACAGGAACAGAATTGTAGACGTGGAGATCACATGAAGAGTTGTCAGCTGGGAGGGGAAGGGGTAGAATGGGAGAAAAGGTGCAGGGATTAAGAAGTATGATTGTTAAGTACAAAATAGACAGAGGGATGTTGAGAAAAGTATAGACAATGGAGAAGCCAAAGAACTTACATGCATGACCCATGGACGTGAACTAAGGAGTGGATTGCTGGAGGGAAGGGGGTTACTGGGTGGAGGGGGACAAATGAGGAAAAATTGGAACAACTGTAATAGCATAATCAATAAAATATATTTAAAAAAAAAGAATAAGGAGAAACAGCTCCTAAGTGGGTGGCCAGAGAACCACAGTGACCACCACAGTCTCCCTCCCATCACCCTGTTGGCTGCACTGCATTTATTCCGTTGCTCTCTGGAGGCAGCGTCAAGTCCAAACTCCTCAAGGTCCGGTGCCCACCTTCCAGGCACCCCGGGGAGCTCCCCATGTGCCCCTCCTGTCCCAGGATGTCACATGTCTGAGTGACTGCAGCCTGGTGTTTCCTTCCTCTGCTTCTCCATGTAAGAACTCCCGCCCACTCTGCAAGGCCTGGCTCAGTTGTGGCCCCTCCAAGAAGATCTTCAGCCAGGCTCGAGTTCCTGCAGTGTGAGGTCTTTTGTCTGCCCGGAAGCCACCTTCACTGTGCCGGAATTTATGGCTTATGAGCTGTCTGTCCTCCTGGAGGGTCTCTGAGGGCCTCCACACCTCCCTCCCTGCCTGTGCCCGGCATAGGGCCTGCTGAGGTTTGCCAAATTATTCAGCTGCTGAGGCTATTCAGAATCTGTGGCTCAGATTCTGGGACCCTGGCTCCCCAGCCCCCAGCTTCCATCCTTCCATCCTCACCTGGTGCCCAGTTCATGTCTCTGCTAAGCCTGAAAATATTTTCTTAATGACAGAAAAAAAAAATCATAGGTTAAAAGTTTTGAGCCGTAGAACAGCAGATGACGTTGTACGGGCAACTTCCCAGAGGACAGAGAACACACGTCCCCTGAGTGGGAGGCCTTATAAGGACAGGTTCAGGAGGAGAGTGGGTAGGAGGCAGGGCCACCCGCCAGCAGAGGGGGATGCTGGGGTGGGGATGGGTGTCCCACCGCTGGCCTGGGAGCGGAGCCGGCAGGGGTGCTGGCTAGGATCCAGTTCCACAGGGGAAGTTGGCAAAGAGCCACCTCCACAGGCCCTTGTTGGGCCAAAGCCTGCCTGTCCTCCTTCAGTGCCATCATCACCAGCACAGCCCAGCCGGCTGCCACGCTAACCCACACCTCCCAGCTAGCACTGGGAACCTTCCACCCCAGGACAGGCCGTTTCTCCCTCTTCCCACATCCCCCCTTTCCAGGACCTCACTGGGCCTGGCAGTCAGCTGGCATGCAATCAAGGTTTGCCAGGTGGAAGGAAGAATTAGTAAGTGAAGGTTCTTCAGCGGTAGTTCTGGCTCATCAGCTGGGCTGTGGCACAGGGGCCGTGTCTTCTCTGAGGCCCCAGGGCAGGGCTGAGTGCGTGGTGGAGGCTTGACAAGGGGTCTGGGGTTGAGTGGGCCTTGCCTTGGAGTAGAGCTGAGCGATCAGATCTTGCCCCATTCAGGATCCCTCTCGTCCCCAGCATTAAGGCGTGCACACTTCAAAACTGCTCCAGGTTATGTTTGTGGCAGGAGTTTGACTCCCCTTGAGGACAGTGTGTGTGTGAGGGAGAGGAGGGGAGAGAGGTGGAGACGGAGGTGAGAGGAAGACAGAGTTAGCCAGCTTCTGGGAGGGTCCTGCTTGTCCGAGTATTCCTCTGGCCCCGCTTATCTGGGAACAAAGGATCTGAGGGTGAGAAGAGGTGAACTCCAGGAGGTCCCTGGGCTGAGGGAAGGGCTCTGGAAGGCTTACTCAACCCTCAGGGGAGTAAGCTTTCCAGGGCCCCCCAAAGATGCAAATCCTCCTTGGTGGAGTCTTACCGAGAGACTGCATGGACCGTCTCGATGAGGGGGAGAGTTGGGAGGGCCACCCCTTCCCTTTGCCAGCTTTTACCAGCCCGAAACCCCATCGCTTACGGGCCACCATTCATGAGTTAAACATAGCCCTGTCCCTAAATCCTCTTAAACGGCAAACAGTGTTCCCTGCAGGGGACGAGGAAGGAATTCTCTAACACCAGATAAGACAGAAGGACAGGGCAGCTGGCGGGCAGGCTGGGCAGAGGGGCTGGGAGGCAGTGGAAGGAAGGGGGCTGAGGGGGGGAGGAGGGTCTGGGAAGAGGAAGCTCCTGACTTCACTGATCCTGGGAGGCCAGCTGTGACCTGAGAGGACACCCCCTCTACCCTCCCCGGAGTGGAAGGGTGGGGGCTGAGAGGAGGCCCTGGCAGCCCCTCAGCGGGCCCTGCCAGGAGAAAGTTGTCGGAGGCTCCGAGCGGAGGTGAGACGGGATCAGAGCCGCCTGTGTCAGCTGGAGCCTGGGGAGGGTCCAGTCTTGCCTGAGACCCTGACCTCTGGGTAAGGCCTCCTCCTCTGTCATTCTGCTCCAAAATAGAAATGTCTCTTGTGTAACAAAACACAACAAAACTCCTCTAGATGACTACTGCCTGAAATTCCACCATTAGTCATATATTATTTTAGGTTAGGCATTGCCCCTCTGTGGCAGGCCTAAGAATGGTCCCCCTGAAGATGTTCATGTCCTTCTGTTACCTTACATGGTAAAAGGGACTTTGCAGATGTGATTAAGTTAAAGATTTTGCACTGGGCGATTATCCTGCATTATCCAGGTGGGCCCAACGTAATCCCATCAGAGTCCGGAGGCCTTCTTCAACCTGTTGGCCCTGGGCCTCTGAGGGAGGGAACACAGTGGGGACACAGAAGAGGATACAGAGCATAAGGGGACAGAAGTGAGAGCAAGAATCAAGGAAGAACTTGCTTCGTCCTGCATTCTTGGGCCAGACCTTGGTTCACCGCCTGGCGCCCAGGACCTGCCATCCTCCTCGCCTTCTCTCCAAGGGTCGCCTTGTCTAGATCCTGCCTTCAGGGGGCTGAGTGTGTCATCTGCTGGCTGCTATTTCAAGGAGCCACTAATGCAGCCACTGGACCCTTAGTTGTAGAGATTGTCTTTCTCCCAGGTGGTACTCCCCAGAACCCTCTGCTCCAACCACCTTCTTAAACCCTCTGACCAGAGATGGGACAAGGTTCTCCCAGGTTTTCTGAGTTTGATTGTAAATGCTGGAGATTTGTCAACCATGACAAGGAGGAGGAGCGTGATCAGAGTACAGGTGGTACCGATTATAGAACGAGGCAGGGCATAAATCTGTATCAGTAAGTAGCCACTACAGACCATGCCACAAGCCTCCTGTGCACCATCCTTTCGTTGTGCAGGCCGGCACTCAATCCATGGAGCCACACCAGCCAGGGCAAGCACTATCCCGTGTAATCATCCCAGTTGGGAAGTTTCACTACACCTATTTTATGGAGAAGGAACTGAGGCACAGAGAGGTCATGTGACTTTCAAAAGCAAGTTCATGATAGGACTGTAGTTTCAGCCCACAGCAAGTTCCACAGCAAGTTCATGATAGGACTGTAGTTTCAGCCCAGGTGAGACCTCACAGTCCATATGATTAACTACCACACTACTCTACCTCCTAAAAATATTTAAAACTAACAATGATGTCTTTTTAAAAAAGGTTTATTTATTTATTTTTAGAGAGAGGGGAAGGAAGGGAGAGAGGGAGAGAAACACTGATGTGAGGAGGAAACGTGGATTGGTTGCCTCTTGCTCACCCCCACCAAGAACCTGGTCCCGACCCGGAATCAGACTGGTGAACTTTTGGTTTGCGGGAGGACACCCAGCCCACTGAGCCACACCGGTCAGGGCCTAACAATGATGTCTCGATGTCTCACTTTTTAATCAAACAACAGTTTTCTAGGGGTGGGGAGGTTTGCGGCAGGTGGGAGAAGGATGAAAGGAGAGACACTGGGGCAGGAATGTGCCAGGCACGACGAGCTGCCGCCTGCCGCCACGAGTCAAGGGGACTTCATAAAGTGGCAAGCCGAGGCCAGATCGCCTTAGTCAAAACATGAACAGCTTTGGATTTAATGTTTCATCTTAGAAACTGAACTTAATTTTAAGGTCTTTTCCAAGTGTGCTTTTATTTTTGATCAACTTTACGACATTTTGCTGATTTTCTCAAAATAGTTTTTTATTGCTGCAAGTTATTCAAATCAAGTTTCAAGGCCAAAGAATATTTTTAATGTGATCTCAAGTTGGCAGGTATCGAGGCTTAGTGGGAGGCCCCCAGAAGTTGGATGGGCCTTGGGAGACCTGGGTTCTAGTCCCACATGTGCTGGTAGGCCTGGGCAGGCCTGCAGAAATCCTCCCTACGTGCTCAGACAAGGTGTCTGGGTCGAAGCCATGACAAATGTGGAAGATTTCATTCGTTTTTTTTTACAGGCTTCTGCTCCCGGTCCAGCCCTGTTTGTTGGGTGGAGGTGGGGAGAGGTTTTCCCTCTGCTGAAACTGCTGCAGGCCTTTGCACGGGGCCAGCTGGGAAGGGCAGGGACACCAGTTTCTTGGCTTCTGACCTCTGCTTGCCTGAGGCACAGGCAGCTCTAGAAACTGGTTCCTCCATCTCTGGGGCCTCCAGAGGGGAGGCCTGGGTGATTGAAGGCAACTCTGCTTCCAACTGGCCCATTCCCCAAATGAGGACAGAGTGACATAGGACCACAGGCTGTCAGAGCAGCAGGCAGCCCAGATCGGCTGGCCCTGAGGGTCACACACACTAGCCACGGGCCCATACAGTGCATACACATCCCAAGAGATACTGACATAAAAACAGACACATAGATCAATGGACCAGAGTAGAAAGCCCAGAAATAACCCACACATATGTAGTTGATTAATTTATGACAGAGGAGACAAGAACATGTATGGTGGCAAAAGGGCAGTCTCTTCGAAACTGGTGCCAGGAAAACTGGACGGCCACATGAGAAAGAATGAAATTCTACCACTGTCTTACTCCATACCCAAAAATTAACTCACACATGGATTAAAGACGTAAATGGAAGGCCTGAAACCATAACATTTCTAGAATAAAACATAGGTAGTAAGCTCCTTGATATAGTTCTTGGCAATATTTTACACTTGACACCAAAAGCAAGAGCAACAAAAGCAACAATAAACAAGTGGGACGACATCCAACTGGAAAGCTTCTGCCCAGCAAAGGGAACCACCAAAGACATGAAAAGCAACGCAATGAATGGGAGAAAATATCTGCAAACCACATATCTGATACAGGATTAATATTAAAAAATATATAAAGAAAACTCAATAGCAAAAAAATCGGATTGAAAAATAGGCAGAAGATCTATGTAAACATTTTACCAAAGAACATACAGATGCCCAAAAGATACATGAAAAGATGTTCAGCATCACTAATCACCAGGGAAATGCAAATCAAAACTCCAGGGAGGTGTCGCCTCACACCTGTTTGAGCGGCTGCGGTCGAAAAGACGAGAAGTGAGTGCTGGCAAACACGTGGAGAAAGCGGAGCCCTTCGCACGGTTGGCGGGAATGCACACTGCACAGACACTGTGGAAAATAGTATGGAGGTTCCTCCAAAAATTAAAAATAGAAAAGCCATACAATCCAGCAATCTCAAATCCGGGATTTATCCAGAAAAAGAAAAACACAAACTCAGTAAGATATATACACCCCATATTCGCTGCAGTGTTATTTACAATAGTCAAGATATGGAAATAACCTAAGTGTCTATCAATAAATCAATAAGTGAATGGATAAAGAAATTGTGGCTCCGGCTAGTGTGGCTCAGTTTGTTGGGTGTCATCCCACAAACGGAAAGGTCTTGGGCTCGATTCCCCATCAGGACATATGCCCAGGGGGTGGGTCTGGTCCCGTTACAAAAGGCAACCAGTCGATGTTTCTCTCCCTCCTTCTCCCTCACTTACCCTCTCTCTGAAATCAATAAGAATGTCCTCAGGGGAGAAATAAATAAGTGAATAAGAAATAGTGACATATACATATGTCATATATATAATAGTTGTGTATAATTATTATTCACTTATAAAAAAAGAATGAAATCTTGCCATTTGTAACAACATGGGTGGACCTCAAGGGCATTATGCTAAATGAAATGTTAGTCAGAGAGAGATAAATACTGTATGATTTCATACGTGGGATCTAAAAATAAAAAACCAAACTCATAGATATGGATAGCAGATTAGCAGTTGCCAGAGGTGGGGCCAGGAGGTGGCATGGGGTGAGAGAAATGAGTAAAGGCAATCAATCAGCAATGACAAAGAGCAAATTTAAAAAAAAAAAGAATCCCCAGAGAGCTCCTTGTGAAAACAAAACAAATCCTTAGGGGCTACCAAGCTGAACTTTCTGAGTCAGATTACCCAGAAGTGGGGCCTGGGACTGTTTAACACGCTCCCCTGGGGATTCTTGTGAACAGCAGCCAGGTCCGGCTCGGCTTTCCCGGGGAGACGGAGCCAGTCATCAGCAGACCCACAACCAGGAACGAGACCTCTGGCCCCACAGTTAGGTGTTCTTCCCACAGCTAGACCAGGAGCCCACGGGACCCCAACGAATTGTCCATCATTTCTTCTTTGTTTTAATTTTCTCAAAAGCAAAGTTACTAATGCACACAGTTTAAAGAATCAAGCAAAGGTAGTTTTACAAGGCTTACACAAGAAAACACAGCTCCTTGTCCACGCCCTCCCATCTGCCCCTCCCCACAGGCAACTGTTTTAGCCGATTCTTTTGGCACTGATAGAGACCAGAATCTCACCCCAAAATATGCCCCTTTGACATGAAAATTATTCTGAGCTGGAGGCAATGAAGCAGCAAATGCAGGAAAAGTTCTCACTGCCCTTTTCTGTCTGAAGGTGGGATACAAACCCTCCTTTCCCTGAAACAGGCTTGTGTCCTCCCAGAGATGCGCCAGAGGAATGAATCTGCAGACGAACCTTACTCCATTCGTTCCCTCCCATGTTTACCTTCCAAGAACTTGCCATTCTCAGAAGCCTAAAACCGATTTCCTGTGTCCTTTTATCTCTCTACAAGTTTGTTCTTTGTTGGTGCTACATAAGCCAGAGCTCTAAACTGCTGCTTTGAGCTACTTTTCCCTGAGGTTCCTCCCATGTGACGTGCGCTCCGTGTGTCAGTGAGCTGGTTTCTCTCGTTGATTGGTCTAGCTGAAAACCTAAGGTGCCAAGTGTTGCCTCCCCTGTAGTATTTGCTCCCACCCTTGGTACTGTTTGCATTTTGTAATGAATATGCATCACTTTGTTATTCTCATGTCGTCCACAGTTAGGATGGATTGCTGGGTTTAGCGCAGGTCTGGGATGCCCAGGCATTTGCAGAGTGCCCCGGTCGTCACTGGGCGAAGGCCACCAGCTCCTCCAGGGCTTGCTCACGGTGGTTGCCATGGACCAGCAGCACCTCCTTGATCCGGTCCTGCTGGAAGCCCATGTCACTGAACTGTTCCCAGAGGCGCAGGAACTCCCCAGCCTGAGGAAAGGGAGGCAGAGAGGCCACTGAGGCTCAGTCTCCGTTCTGGGGAGCCCCCTCCCTGGTGTCCTCTGTATCTACAGAGAGCTGTGGGCTGATCCTGGGCAACACCTGCATTTCCCCTGTGCTTCTGAAGTGACCTGGGCTTGGACCTCTCTTCCGTGCCGAGGAAGGAGGCCCCAGCCTCGCCCCTGGCTTGGTCCTGGCTTTGCTCCCTGACTCCGGCTCACTCCTGACTGCCTGTGCTTGGGCACTGGGGCAGCGAGGAGAAGGTCAAACCCTAGTGTCCAGAGAATGCACAGCCTGGGGCCTCTGCCCAGGCCCCAAACCCTGCCAGTGTTTCACAGAGCACAGCCTCTGCTTTCCTCTCTCCTGTGGCCCTAGTACTTTAAACTTCCCTGCTTCTCCTTCCTCCCTCCCCCTCTACATCCTTCTCACTGGTCCCTCCCTGGGCCTCTGGGAAGAGCTGCTCAGGAGCCAGGGCCAGCTGCTAAGTGTGGACAGGTCACAGTCATCGCCACTCAGAACGACTCCTGGGCCACAGCTGCCCGCACCCTGGATTCCAGGCAGGCGGCAGTCTCCCTGAGCAGAAAGTTCAGGTATCTCTGTGCTGCCTGTGGCTCCTGCCTAGGTGTCTGGCAAAGAGTGGGCATTCAATAATACCTGTGTCGATTCTGTTAAATAGTACAGAAGCCTTGCCTCTGGTTTCCCTCCCCACCTTGTCCCCTCACCTTCTGTGCTTCATCTCCCTAGGCTGTCTCCTTCCGGTCCCCAGGCGGACTCTGGCACGTGCGCCCCGGCACACCAGGCTTGTGTGTGCACCCCCATCCCTCACCTCCCCGGGGCCCAGGCAGGTGGCAGGGCTGACCTGGCTCTCAGAGAACTGGAACATCTCCATGGCCTCCTCCACCAGGCCCTCCTCGTAGCCCTGCCGCAGCAGCCGGTCACAGGCGCTCAGGTAGCTGAGAAACTGCGTTGGAAAGGGGCAAAGAGGGAGGGGTGATGAGAGGAGTGGCAGGGGCAGCAGATGGAGTGGAGGAATCACCCCGAGGACCCCACTGAGGACTGAGCTCAGACCACCTGCCTAGACACTCCACCACACACAACATGGGCCCAGAAACCCCAGGGAGCCAATAGAAGAGAAACAGAGGTCTCCTCTAGAGACAGGTGGACAGCAAGTCCTGACCAGCTTTCCCAAACCGAGGGCTGGAACCCAGGAAAAGGACTGCCAGGGTGAGCTAAGGTGTTCCCAGAACCCAAGTGGGGAGCGATACAGGCCTGCAACACAGGCGTCTCACCCGCCACCCATCCTGGCCTGCTCACCCTCCCTGGGGAGCACCTGCCTGTGTGAAGGGGCCACCCACACCTGTGTGTCCCCACCCCACCCCTAGCTGCGTGCATCTCTGCCACCCAGGACTTCTTGACGCCCCACCACAGGACAGTCCTGCTTCAGTGCTGGAACGGGGGGCACACAGAGCAGGATCTCACAGGGCTGGACCCCTGTTCAGCTCACTTCCTACTTAGTCATCAGGGGCTGCTTTTGCCCTCAGTCTCCCAACCAGGGCTCACAGGCCTGCCTGCTCCTGCACCTGCCCTCGCCTCAGCTCCTCCCCCAGCCCCCCAGGCCTCTGTATACCCAGCCCCCTCCCCAAGGCCAGCCTCACTCCTCTTCCCGGGACCCACTGTGCCCCGTTTCCAACACGCCATGCTTGCCGCCCCCACGGCATGTACAACTGTGTAACTGCCCTACTATGTTCCTCATCCTTCTCACCCACTGACTTCGCTCCACCAGGGGAGGGCTGTGTCAGTCTTACTCCCCACTGCTTCCCAGCACCCCAATGGCAGGCAGAAGGAGCTCAATAAATACACGCTGTGTTTATAAAATGAGTTAAGAAATACCTTCAGGGAGCTCACAGCTCAGTGGGGGAGATAAACCAGATACAGGAAATCATGAGGGCCGGGCAAATCAGAGCAGGATTTGTAGGGAGTTGGTGCCAAATGCAAGCACCAGACCATAAAAATTATGGGTGCGAGTGGAGAGGAAGCATGTTGATTTCTGCAGACCTTCAGAGCTGGGCAGAAAGCACAGATGATATAGGCTAATGGCTTCAGCTCCTGAACTCTCCGAGCTTCTGCCCCAGAACACCTAGACCTTGCTCTGAGCACGTTTGGAAAACCACCCAGCCACGCCTTCCTTGCGCACCTAAGGAAACTGAGGTCCAGGCAGCACGGGCAGCGTGCCCAGGGGCCCAGGAGTAGAGCCTAGATCACCTGACCTCTCCTGGTGCCTCGTCCACCCCACGACCAGCTGCCGGAGGAGAGGCTTGAGCTAGCTTGCACGTAGACAGGGCTTCTGAAGGTGAAAATAGGAGCAGGGTTAAGGGCAGATGGGGGAGTGCTCCCTTCACCTCTTAGCTCATCCACAGCAATGCTTTGTGGCCTTGATGCTGACTGCATTTGTAAAGATTCTGCTGCCTGGTCAGTTTGGGGGACCTATGGGACTGTAAACGCCACCAGGCCTGCCTCAGACCCCAGGATGGGGCCCCGGAAGTCATTGATGATCAGCACATATTCTCCTCCCTCCATGCTGTGAATAGGGAGAGGCTCGAGGAGGGGCCTCCCATGCCTGGAGCCCCACCGCAAGTCCGGGCCTGGCCTACGGGCCCCTCAGGTGCCACCCACGCCTGTCCCGCACTTTGACCCTTGTGAAAGGAAGGAAGGAGTGATGGACAGAGCTTATCATCTGTGTCTCCTCTGGTCCCCTTGGCTCTTCTTAGTGAAGACCCACCTGGTGCCCTCCCTTGTGGACCGTCTCTGGCCATAAAGGATTTACTGCAGCATATTTCTCTCAAGGGGAGAAGGAACCTGAACCCAAAGGAGTTGCTTAGTTAATGGTGGAACTTTACACACTAGAGGGAAGGATGAACTTGGTGGAGGAGAGTAGATGAAACCATCCGATGGACCTTCTGGCCCACCCCTCAGGGCCTAGCCTCTGCCTGCCCACCAGGCCAGAGGGCCGCAGGGCCAGGCAGAGACCTGGCAGGCCAGGCAGGTGGTCAGTCTGTCTGGAAACACCGTGTTCCTGATGCGGTGGGGTTCTTCCCGCCCACCCACGGGGAGGCCAGTGCCTGTGCCGGCTCCTGCTCGTCCTCAGAGCTCCACGGCGATGAGACCTCAGCCTTGTCACAGGACCTAGAGCCTGGGGGGCGGGGCGTGTCAGGGCGCCCTCTGTGGGCCCAGTGCCTCACAATCCTCTGGCTTCTTAGCCACAGTCCTGGCTTTCAGTGGCAGCTTAAGGAAGGGGCAACTTGAGATCCCTTCTTAAATCTCAGATGGGTGTGGGATGCTACCCTGGAAGGCTCTCACACAGAAAATGAGAGAAGGGCACTGTGCAACAAAGATTCAGAGTGAGACCAGCCTCAGTTTCTTCATCCACAAAATGGGGACAGTAATAGCAACCATGCAGAATTGAAGAGGCCTAATTGTATACACTCGGGTTGAAGAACTGGCACAGAGAAGGTGTTTACTGACTATCAGTACCACTGATGACTGATTGATGCAGGGGTATAAAGACCTGACCACCTCAGTCACCCTTCGGGTGACTCTGAAGGACCGTGTATGCTCCAGAACTGAAGGCTTGGCCGATGCTGTCGTTGAGTCTACAAAGCTCAATGTCTCCATCTACTCACTGCTGCTTCCGTCCACTCCCTTCGCCAGGGGTTGACCCCAGTAGCCTCCTTGATAACTATCCTGCGTACCGTGCTCTACCTGAGTCAGCTTCCTGGGGATTCCAACACATAGCACTGGTTTTTATGTACCCTGGTTTCCCATACCTCCTAGTTGCACCTAAATACTCAGGAGGTGCCAATAAGTACTGTTGACTAGATGGGTGGATGGACGAAAAGAGATGGGTATGAGCAAACAATTTGTTGAGGGAAGCGATTAGAGCTGCACCATCCAATATAGTATCCAGCAGCCACAGGTGACTATTTTAATTAATCACAATTAAATAAAATTCTCAGTCACACGAGGCACTTTTCAAGTAACCATGGCAACAGGGTACTGTGTTAGACAGCAGGTATAAAATATCTCTCTCACTGCAGCAAGTTCTACTGGGCAGCTCTAGAGAGCTTATGGCCACCCAAAGCTCCAGCCCCTGCATCTGGGGCAGAGACCAGGAGAGGAGTAGACTATCAAGATGTCCCCAGTGGGCATGGGGGTTCCTGATAAACTCCTATGGAAACGGTAGCATTAGGGTCTAGAAACTTGCTCACAACCCCCGATAATTAATGTCAGGCTGAGATTCTGCCTCTAAAGAGAAGGAAACAAAACTTCTTCAAGGTGAAGATAAAACTACATGGCCACCCACCGGGTTCCAGTTTCATAGCCCCCCAGCTCTGGACAATCGCTCACCTGGCTCAGGCTCTGCCGCCCCGTCTTCTGCAGAGCCACAATGGCCCTGTGCAGGGGGTACCCCAGGGCGACCACTGGCCCAATGAGGTCTTGCTCCTCCTGGCTGAGGGCAGACAGCAGGTCGGCTGAAGCAGGATGCGGTCTGTGGGCGATGAGAGGCTGGGGCTCCCGCCCAAGAGGTGGCAGGCAGGTGTATGGGCTGAGGGACTGAAATACAGACAAGCTGGATGTGTCAGCTACCATCTGGCCAGGCAGCACATTTTTAAAGGTGCCTTTGCATGCCACTTTCTATACAGAATCCAGAGGCCAATGCTGTGAAGAGCTTGGAGTCTGCAGACCTGGATCAAACCCCAGATCTCTGCTGTTTACTCAGTTTACTCATGTGTAAAATGGAGGCAAACATACTCAGATACCTCAAGGGTTGTTACAAGGCTATAAGCCAATGTGAGAAAAGTAATTAGCAAAAGACCTGGCATATAGAAACTGCCAGTACATGATAATTGTTTCATTTATAGTTAGAACAACTCTGTAAGAGAAGTAGGATAGATCCATCCTGTCACCCCACTTTACAGGTATTGAAACCAAAGTTCAGAGAAGTTAATGGTAAGCAACATATATTTGGGACCTGTACCCTGCTCAGAATCAAATCCAGGGTTCTTTACCTCACCCGTTAGGAGGATCTTCCCTGCCAGACCCTCATTCTTGAATTTGGCTGGGCTGAGCATAGAGCGGGACGGAGACTGGGCACGGCCGTGGTGCTGGGGAGACCCATACACACCCTGGGCTAAGACTGGCGGCTTAAGGGTATGTCAGTTGGTCTGGCTGGCATCACTCCTCACCCTTCCCCCGTGAAGAAGCACCTATCTGCCAGCCCGGAACACACCGCCTGTCCCCTCCTGCCCCACCCATCCCCATCTGCTCAGGGTTTCTCTGCCCCGACTTCACCCTTGGGGCTGCTCTTTGCCCTCAGAGTGGTAAACATCCAAATCTTAGGATCTGAGTCCACTCTGCGACCTGAAGGAAGATTCTTGGCTGCTCTCTGTCTCAATTTCCTTCTGTGCAGAACCTCTGTCCCCAACCCTCCCCCAACACACACACACACACACACACACACACACACACACACACACACACAGCTAGGGCTGCGGGCAGGGTTGAATTGACTCTGGATCAGGGGAGAGCCACCCTGGCGTCTGTACCTGGTCCCTGATGTGGGCAACGCCGGTCCAGTTCACAGAGCCCCGTCTCTACCTTTGCTCCAAACAACTGTGGGCGGGGTTGTTGGCCCTCTTTACAAGGTAGAAAAGGGATGGCTCAGCGAGCCTCAGTGACACCAGTGAGCAGAAAAGCCAGACCTCGGGTCTCTTTTGGAGTTAATTTCCTGTTGGCCTTGCGCCTACTGGTTTGGCCGAGAGGCTGCTGGGGGGTGGGGGGGGGGTGGCGGGAGAAAGCTGTGCCCTATCCCTGCCTCCTGTTCCCAGTCCTGACCCACCCCATCTGATCTGGATCGTGGTTGTGCAGAATTTTATGCTTACACAATTTGTACCTCTTAAAGAAAACAGACAGACACAATTATAAATATAAAATTAGGCACACAGCTTTGGAAGGAGCAAAGCCAGGGGCCTGAAGCTAAAGCGTCATTGATTTCATGGTAAGCTCACTCTGCTCCCCATTCTTACGGGTACAGACCTGTCCTGAAGCCTCCAACCCGCCACAACCCTCACCTCTCTCAGGACATGATCACTCCCCTGTACAGTGCTGCCTGGTCCCCATTCCCCCTGGGAAACTCTCCTCGTCCAGTGGTTTTGACCTTGTCTCTTCCAGCCCAGTGCCTGGCAGGAACTAAGGGACAGCGACTATTCCTTGACTGATACTCCAGCTCCCCCAGTCTACAGCAAGCCTTGCCCCCTGGCAAGCCCTGGATTTGAGGCACGTTCATTAATGCAACAGACATTCATTGAGCGCCCCCTATTGGCCAAGTCTGCTGTTGGGCGCTCTGGAAACAAAAATGAACACGATCCGCCCCTTGCCCTAAAAGAACTCATATTCCATTGGAAGAGAAAGACACACAGGCATGGGATAATGACAATTAAGTGACATGTGCCCTAACAGAAGCACAGCAGGCACAATGGGAAACAGAGGGAATGGGGGCCCTCTGAGCAGGGAATATTCTAGGCAAAGGGCCGCAGGAAGAACAGCATGGTGTACAGGGCCTGGTGAGAGCAGCAGATAAGAAGGTAAGGAGGAGGAGCGCAGACAGGAGGGGACCCCAGACAATGGGGGCTTCGCTACTGATCTGCAAACTTGGCAGAGTGGGCAAGTTCCTTACCGCGACCGTGGGCTTGTGGCTCCGCAGCGGGGGCATGGCACCGGCCGTGGAAGGCCGCGGAGGCGGCGCGGGTGCACTGGGGAGCGGGGGCGCGGGGCCCTGGGGAGGCTCGGGGCTGGGGCAGAGGCTCAGCGCCCGGTGGCGGATGCGCTGCAGGAGGGCGCGGGGACAAGAGGCCATCCTGCCCTCCGAGAGTTTTCGCCGGGCACCCGCCAGCTCCAACCTCACGCCGCGCAGCATGTCCAGCGAGCGCCGGTGATAGCCTGAGCTGGGGCTTGCGGGAGCGCTGGCCTGGGGGCTGCAAGGACCCGGCTTTTCCTCCCTGGCAGGGGAGGCTTCTTCCTCTTCTCCCTTCTCATCCTCCAGCTGCTCCTGGGGCCCAGCCTCAGGGCCTTTGGCTGCGGCCGGCGCAGGCACCGGCCGGTATTCTGGGCTAACCAGCAAGTACCAGGCAGGAGGGGCTGAAGCTGTCCCGGGGGCATCGCATTGGAACCGGCAGGATCCCCGGACGACAGCCTCCACCCAGAAGAGAGTCCTCTTCTCCAGGCTGAAGTCGTGCTGCCGAGAGAAGGCTACGTGAGGATCGGCCAGGCAAGCCAGGCTCGAGGGCACACCCCTACCCTCTCTCTGGTCTCCGGGGCCCCCGTTCAGCCAAAGACTTGCCAGACCTGCATGGCTCCCAATTCTGGGCTCCAGGCAGCCATCACAGCCCACCCCCGTTTTAGCTAACACTGGAGTAGACGGACATCAGTAACAATGTAACGATAATCTCTGCATAAAGGACAAAGTGAAGAACAGGTTAATAGGATGAAATGTAGTGAAATCTAATATGTAAATCCTTTTGCTATTTAGTGTGTAATTGAACAGTAGCAGCTTAAAAACTTTCTCCCATAAAATTGGGTTTCAGCATCCTGGCTGATGTGTCTCAGTGGATTGAGTGCTGGCCTACGAAATGAAGGGTCCCTGGTTCCATTCCCAGTCAGGACACATACCTGGGTTGCAGGCAAGATCCCCGGTAGGGGGCGTGTGAGGGGCAACCACACATTGATGTTTCTCTCCCTCCCCCTCTCTCAAAAATTAATCTTAATTTAGCAAATGCACCATATGTACTTAGCAAATGCACTATTTGTGAGTAAGCAGCCAGCCTTGGAGGCCCTCCCAAGCAAATGAACTTCCCTGTGGAGTAATACAGTGGTCCCCAACCTTTTGGGGGTGGGGGCAGAATGGGGGTGGGTAACAGGAGGTGGAGCTCAGGTGCGGGGGTGGGGGGAAAAGGCGGAGCTCAGATCAGCTTCCCTTGCTCACAGCCCCTCACCTGCTGATGACAGCAGGGTCCGGGTGGTTTGGGGCAGAGACAAGAGGCAGAGCTCAGGCGAGCTTCCCTCGTGACCATGACCGGGTTCTCAGGAGGCTACAGACCAGTGCTGGTTCTCCACCCCTGGGCTGGGAACCTCTGGAATAATACCCTCCTCCAACCTCCTGGCTGCGATATGAGGTTCATTTGGGACCCAGGACATGTAAAATTCGCTAACCTTTGTTGAACCCTACTTAGTAGGTTTTAGTATTACCGGTATTCCTATTTCCAGATTATGAAAATGAGACTCAGAAAATGTAATTTGCTGGAGGTCAGATTGGAGGTCAGGGGCTAAGCTGGGATTTCTCTGTCCATCTGACTGTAGAGCTTTATCCACTACGTAGCAGGCCACCTAAAAAGATGGTCTGGAGCCCACATAAATAGTCTAGCTTGAGAGTTTAAAATATTTGCCTATATTTTATAGACAAATATAAAAGATTCCTATTGCCTACCTTTAAAACTAAGAACCAACAATATAAAATGCCATTCAAATATTTTTAAAAATTTAAAGGTCATTTCAATGCTCTGTGATGGCCAGATAAGGGAGAGGCAGGAGGAACTGGTGTGTGGGAGGGGAAGGGGAGACAGAAAGACGAACACAGCCACAGATCACATACACTGCCACCTTCCCGCCTTTGACCTGACCCTAGGCTGGGGAGAGGAGCGTCACTTAGCTGGTCCGGAGTGGCTCCCTGACTGAGGTCAAGGACTGTGTCTTACTCTGCTCCGGACCCTCAGGGCCCAGGGTGGGCAGGCCTGGCACAGAGCAGGTGTGTGTTAAGTGTGTGCAGAATACACGGCTAGAGAAAAGGACTGGAGCAAAATAGACGAGTCGTGAAAAACAGAAGAGGAAAGAGACAACTCAGAACTGATGTGGCAGAATTGTAGAGAAAGACACTAAGCCAGCGGGACTTAGGGATAAAATGATACAAAGACCCAATAAAAGTACCAACACAATTTATGGAACTAAGCAGGATGATTCTAAAGTTCATATGAAAAACAAACAAGTACAAATAGCCAGGAAATCTCTGGAGATGAAAAGATAAAGAGAATTAGCCCTATCAGCTGTTTTATTGTATTATAAAACATCAATAATTAAAGCTATGATACTGGCAAAGATAGGTTAAAGGTAGAGAACAGAAAGCCCAGAAATAGACCTCAGTATCTATGGGGCTTTAGTAAATAATAAAGATGGCATTTCAAGCAATGAGGAAAAGAGGAACTAGTCAATAAATGGTGGTGGCTATCCAGAGGAAAATAAAGTTGGATCCATTCTCACATTATAGACACAAGGATAAATTCCAAAAGGATCAAAGATTCAAATGTGTGATATTAAACCATAAAAGTACCAGGAGAAAGCAGGGCAGAAACCCTTTACAACCTCAAGTGGGGATGGCCTTTCTTACTCCAAATCAAAATCTGGAAGCCACAAACATGTACACAGGCCCTCGTCCAAAACCCGCAGGGCAAACACGCCTCAGGAGCAAGGTCAAAGGCAGATGCCACACTGGCGGGGGCTGGTGGGGGGTGGAAACAGCACTCACACCACACACAAAGGCTAACTTTACTAACAGAAAAGACCAACAGCCAAACAGAAAAAAAATGGGTGAAAAATAATATGGCCAGTCCACAGAAAAGCTGCTCAGCCTCACTCATAATGAGAGAAAGCAAAAGAAAACTGTGCTGAAATACCATTCACCTACCCCTTGGCAAAGCCCCAGTGTTTAATGACGCCCTGTTGGGGAGTGTGGGAGGTGCAGGCGGTTGCAGGGCGCTTGCCTGTTGGGATGTAAATCAGGTCAACCTCTCCGCAGAGCCAGAGTGGTTTGTCGATTTGCATAAGAAAATTCAAAAGCACATTTGCATACACTCATCTCCTGCAGCGCTGCTGGTGATGACAAAAGCCTTGGAGGAATCTAAGTGTACATCAGGAAGGGCCCAGTTGACAAAATGTGATGTGTCCACATAATGCCATATTTCAGTGAGAAACCAGACTGAAGATGCTTTCTATGTACAGATATGGAAGATTTTTATAAGTGAAAAAATCAAGAAGAACAGTTTCTATAAAATAATACCTTTGGTATGAAAAGAGGAGGAAATAGGTATATTTGCTTGCATATACACACATAAGAATCTCTAAAAGAATAAAGAATAAATAACAGGCCATCAGTGCAGGGGCGGAGCTGGGGGCAGGGCAGATGGAGAGGGATCAGTGGGGGGTAGGCAAACTGCCTGGGGGCCAAATTGAGCCCCCACCTTGTCTGTGTAAATACAGTGTTATTGAAACAGAGCCGTGCCCACCCTCTCCTCTCCCTAAGGTCTATAAAAACTCTGGCAATCACTCAAGCCTGCTCTTTTCCTATAATTTTTACTTCTGGCCCTTTATAGAAAATATTTGTCAACTCTGCTCTATAATACTTTATACATACACATAAATTTACATATATGTATATGTGTACACACACACACACACACACACACACACCAGATTTAAAGAAGCTCTAAATATGGAAGGAAAGGCTCCTCGGGCAGGAGCCGGGTGAAGGGGTGGGCTTAGGGGCCTGACGGACTCCTGTGGGAATCCTGACTGCAATGCTCACCAGCCATGAGACCCTGTGGACCACTCAGATGGGAGCTTGGATTCCTGTGCCGTGGGGTAGGAACAGCCAGCTGCTAAAAGGGTCATAAAAAGGAGAGAGAAGACTGAACATGTAGAGAGTTCCTAGCATGGGCCTGGTGCCCAGTAGGTGCTCAGTAAATGGTGGGTGTTATTATTTTTCCCTTTAGGCCACTGTAGGTTCATCTGGTATCTAACCTCCATGTATAACATCATTGTTACAGGAAAATGTATTTCGAGTTCTTAACACTGGGAATATAGCCCAGTGAACTCGAAGCTGTAAATCATACTTGGAGTCTCATGCTTCTCTAGTTTTTAGTTTGGGCCAACAGGAAAAGAGGTAGAGGCTCAGGAAGGGGAAGAAGCTCAAGGAATTGCAGGTGCGCACCCTGAGAGCAGGAGGCAAAGCCAGGTCAGAATTTGGCTAGGACACTAGACATGAACTTGGCAGAAGGGTGCCTATTTTCTGCTACCAGACTAGCCTCTTCCCAGCTTGGCTTGAGCTCAGCAGGGAGGAAAGGCTGCAATCATCCACCTCCCCTGGAGCTCAGTAAAGCGGGTTCCTCTTCCCACCAATACCAGGCTCTATTGCCAGAGACAGCAGCCACAGCACAGGCTGAAGAGCAAGGGCTCCTGCTCCACGGAGGGCGCTCTGGGCTTTGCAAAGCTCAAGTCAACTCTGGACACCCGACCTGAGGAGCCTCAGAGCAACTCAAGTCTGCAGATGAAGCCAAACTGCACCACGTCTCCCCCTCTGGTGCCCCCGCCACTCAAGCCCCTCCAGCTGGCTCTGCCCAGGCTTCTCCTTCCCAGACTGTGCTCTCTGCTCCTGACTTCCTGAAACCGTTTTTTGTTTGTTTGTTTGTTTTTTTGCCTTCAAACATCACCTGTCTGGTGTCTCTCATGTTCCAACCCTGCTCTTAGCTAATACAAGTAATCTGCAGTCAGAACCTGGCTTTTTTTAGTCTAGCCACTAACTTTGGACAAATCATCTCCTTTTTCTGGGCCTCAGGTTCCTCCTGTTCAAAATGAGTGAGAGCTGATCTAGATCCCCAGACTTTTCCACGAAGCCCCCAGCAGACAGTGGAGGATGAGCACGCAAGAGCCTGAGGACTTGGTCCCAAGAGGCCCAATGCCAGCTCCACATTCTTTGCCATCTTATTCTTTCATTTGTAAAGAATTCATATGACTTCTGCATTCTACCCAATGACACATCTGTGTTACAATTTAAATGCAATAGGTTCTCCTATAAATCTTCAAGTAAACTCAATTCTCCTGGAAATTAAATAATTGTGTTTATCTTAACACCAAGTGTGATGTGGCCACATACACTGGGAGCATAGCCCAGGGTGGGAGCCAAGGGGGTGCTCTGAGGGTGCCCCTAGGACAGACGTGGGGGATAGGAATCCTTTCTAATGTGTCCCAGGTCATTTTAACAGAGGATTCTAGATCTAGTGTCTTAACCCAAAGGGATCATTCTAATGGTGGAATTTTATTTTATTATTATTTTATCCTCACCTGAGGACATTTTTTCATTGTTTTTAGAGAGTGAGTAAAGAGGGCAGAGTGTGTGTGTGGGGGAGAGAGAGAGAAAGAGAGAGAGAGAGGGAGGGAGAGAGAGAGAGATGTAAGAAACCTGGATTGGTTGCTTCTTATATGTGCCCTGACTGGGACTGAACACACAGCCTGGGCATGTGTCCAGACTGGAATTCAAACCTTCGACCTTTCTGTCTATGGGATGATGTTCTAATCAACTGAGCCATACCTGCCAGGCCCAGCCTAATGGTGGAATTTTATTTTATATTATTTTTAAAAGGTTTTATTTATTTATTAACAGAGGGAAAGGAAGGGGGAAAGAAAGGGAGAGAAACATCTATGTATGGTTGCCTCTCATACACCCCCTACTGGGGAGCTGGCCTGCAACCCAGGCATGTGCCCTGACTGGGAATTGAACCAGTGACCCTTTGGTTTGCAATATGGTACTCAACCCACTGAGCTACACCAGCCAGGGCTAATGTTGGAATTTTAGACATAACAGCAGGCTGACAGAGAGGAGAGGGACCGGAACATCTGTGCAATGACCTTCATTCACTTTATAGGTGACCTTCCAGTTATTCTAAGGCTAAAATAAGACCCATGAAATAATCCCCATCACCAGCCTTCCTCAGGAAACACCTTTCTTCTTGGGTTATTTCCATGGAATATGCCACAGCAGGCCTAGCTGCCCTTAAAAATCAAGGATCAAGGTCCCATGAGGCTCGGGGTCAGACCCACAGACCGAGGAACTAGGAGATAGACAGACAGACAGAGAGACACACTTACCATGGAACCCAGCAGAAGCTCCCTGCAGGCTGGGACACTGAGTTCTGGCCCAGGCAGAAGCTCTGTGCTTATCACAAAGCCCTTGGACACCTTGAAAGGGACACCATCGAGGGCACTCATTCTGCGGAGGAGTGTGGAGATGGTGAGTGGGCTGCGGCGGGCTGCCAGGCAGCAGGCAGAGAGCCCAGTCCCGAGGACCAGGCTCAGGCCCCTCAGGCAGCCTCAGTGCTCTGTGACTTAGCTGGGTCCCCACAGCCAAGAGGGAAGAGGTGAAGTGGCTAGTGCTGTTAAAAAAAGAGTTGTTCACTTAATCAGTTGAGGAAGAAATATCAAATTACAAAAACTCTCCCAAAAAAGGAAGGAAGGAATACTTCCTAACTCCTTTGACATCACCTTGATACCAAACTTAAAAAGAAAATTAGAGGCCATTTCTCTCATGAACATAAATGAAAAAATCTCCACAAAAATAATTATGGATAGAAAACCGCCAAGTTGAGTTTATTACAGGAATGAGAGGTTGGCTTAGCATTCCAAAATCAATCAATGGGAATAAAGATAAACATCAATAGAATAAAAATAAAAAACTATATAATTATCTCTCTCCACAGATGCAAAAAAGTGCTTGGCAAAATCAATACCTATTCAAGATTTTAAGAAACAACAATCAAACTCTTTTAGCAACTTAGGAATTTCCTTAACCTAATAAAAATATCTCTAAAATATCTGAAGCAAACATCCCACTTAATGTGAAAAGTTGAAAGATATCCCCAAGGTTAGGAATGATGAGGTGAGGAGTCCCCACCACTTGTTCTGTTCAGCATTGCACTGGAGGTGCTAGCCTATGCAATAAGAGAGGGCGAAAACAAAAGTATGAGGATTGGAAAGAAAGAAATGAAGCCATCGTTATTCATACATGACATAATTATATGTAGAAAATAAAAAAAAACCCTGTATGAATAAAACTCTTAGAATGAGTTAATTTGTGAAGGTTATTGGATACATGGGCAATATATAAGAATCAATTATGCATCTATACACAAATAACAAACCATGTAAATGTTATCTTTTAAAAATTTTATTAGAGATTGAAATTTTTTAAAGGTGCCATTTATATTAGCATCAATACCTAGGACTCAATATAGCATAAGATGTGTAAGAAAGAAAACTATAAAATATTAGATCAAGTGGAGGAGCGTGCCATGACCATGGATGGTAAGACTCACTCTTATAAAGATATTGACTCTTCCTGAGCTGATTTACAGATCCTACATATCAAAATTCCATCACATTTTTTGGTGTAAATTGGCAAACTAATTCTATAATTCAAATGAAATGTAAAGGGCCAAGGAAAGCCACAGCAATCTTTAAGAAGGAGCAACACAGTGGGAAGACTCATACTTTCCAATGTCAGGACTTATTAGAAAGGTACCGGAAGTGAGACAGCATGGCCCCGACAAGAGGACTTCTGAAGGGGCCAACAGCACAGAGGAGGCAGGCCAGGGACAGACTCCCATACACACAGACCCTTGACTCATGACCCTGCGGAGCACTAGGAAAATGAAGGTCTCCCAGTAAATTGTTTTGGGTCAATTGGATATCCACCTATAACATAAAACTATTGACCTCTCACCTCACGTCATGAACACAAATCAATTCTAGGTAGACTGTAGATCTCAATATAAAAGGTAAAGAGATAAAGCCTAAAGATAAAATTGGAGAATATATTCATGGCTTTATAATAGGCAAACATTTTTTAAACAGATTACACAAAGACTAACCATAAAGGAAAACACTGGTAAATTGGGGTAGAGTTAAGAATGTCCCTTCATCAGAAGATACCATTAAGAGAGTGCAATATCACAGAGCGGGAGGAGAGATCTGCAGCACATGCAACTGACAAGGGACTCATATTCAACATAAATCAATAAGAAAAAGACCCAATACAAAAATAGGCAAGCAATTTTCATAGGCACTTCCCAAAAGAAGCTATCCACATAGCCAATAACTGGGTAAGCTGTTTAACCACACTAGCTGTCGGGGAAATGCAAAATAAAACAATGAGATATCCCTGCACACCGGGACATACACACTCAAGCAGCCAAAATTTGAAAAGCCTGGCAGGACTAGGGGACAGGAATGTGGGAACATCCGGCGCCCTCATGCACCGCTGGGGAGGAAGTCAGCTAGTGTCAGTAACAGTGTCTGCTAACACAAGGATCCAGGAATGAAAAGCTCATTCACACACAGCTTCTGGGCCTTTTGGCTAAGATCAAGTGTAGTATGTTTTAGCTTAATAATCACAAGAGCAGGGACTTGATTTTTTAATAATTTGAAACATTAAAGAAAGATTCTGTCGCTTTAAAAAACAAAACAGTCATGCACAAGAATCCAAGCTCATGACTGCCTGTAATATACATTTTAATCCCTTGTACTGTCCTCACCGCAGTGGGGTGTTTTGTAAACAACCAGGGATTAATAGGGAGCACTTCTGGCTTAATACAATCTGTCGTCCCTGCCAGGATGGTGCAAAGCCCTGCTGCTAGGGGTCACTGCGGTCATCCCCATGCCTGTGCGTGAGCATTTTAGGTAATCTGAGTGTGGAGAGGTCAAATGAGGCCAGATGGGCAAATCCCTTAATCACTGCATCTCCTCTGTAAACTCACTCTCGTCAGTGTCTTATTGTCTGTAAGACTCAAAAGACTGCTTGCTAGCACATTGGAGTGTCTCTCTGTGCTACAGGATCAGACAGGCCCCAGGGTAGCCAGTAAGTGACCTGCCCCATCACCCTGTTCTTGCAGGGGACATTGGGGAACAGGGGGTTGTAGGGAACACAAGAAAGTTAGCAAATGTTGGCCCTCTTGGATTGATCATTCACATTTTCGACTGTCATTAGAATTTTGAGCTACGGGGAAGGACCGCAGTTTTACTGAGACCCAGGTGTGAACTGCCTGTCCCTCACCTGTGACCCCAAACCTGCATGCTGCACAGATATTCTCTACTCAGTTCTAACCTTGCTCCTGAAGTAATTCAAGAGTTTGAGGGTTCTGGAAATACAACTCTTAAGAATAGCAAGGGCTACAGTGATCTAGTTAGAACACACTCTAAAATGACGATTACCTCTGCTAAATACCAGGTGAGAAGTACAGATCATTAAGTAATAATGTTCTTTAGAGGAAGGTGAGTATCCTAGAAGCTTCAGGAAATGTGGGACTTGGCCTGGACCCTGGAGGACAGGGAACACCCTGGGGCAGGGGAAAGGTGGGGTGAAGAGCTTTAAGTCCAGGGAGGGAGCAACATGAGCCAGGGAGCAGAGGCTGGGCAGAATGGGGGGAGCTAAGCTGCTGGACTCAAGTAGGCAGTGTATGCTGGGAAGCAGTCTGAGCTGGGATCGAGCTGGATGGGCCCTGAACGTTAGGCTGAGTGCTGACTCCATTCGGCAGGCGGCAGAGAAAGCTGAAGAGGCCCAAAGGGTGGAGTGAGGGTGGAGGGCGGGGACGTGAGGAACACCAGTCTGATGCTTTAGCAAGCGGCACAGTGCAGGATCTCTCCAGCACCAGCCCCTGGGTCTGTGCCCATGTGGCTGCGTCTGAGCCTGGGGACAAGGGGCAGAGTGGGTGGGGGTTATAGTAATCAGTTTACAAGGAGCCCGGCAATGACATTAGTATTATTTTTAAAGGTCTCCATAATACTCTCTAAATGATTTCATGCTTGCCTATAGCTTCAACAGTCTATGTGCCAATGACTTACACATAAAATTCTCCAGTTTTGAGATCAAACTCATCAACACAACAACTGCCTACAGCGCATCTCCTCCAAGATGTCTCAAGGGTGCTTCAAACACAACGTATGCCAAGTGAACCCCTCATTTCCTGCTCCCCTGAACTGCTCCTCATCCCCCAGGATTCCTTATCTCAAGGAATGTCTCAGGTGCACAAGCTTGGGACACATCCCAATACTTCCTTCTCCTTCACTGCCACTCATCTCAAATCCCTGCCAAGTGTTTTCTCTTCAATTCCTGGAATCCAGACACTTCATGTTACCTCCGCTGCTGTCACGGGAACCCAAGCTCCCATTATCTCTCTCTCCCTTGGACAGCCGGTGTCCATGTGTCCTCTCATGCCCTGCTACTGTAATTCTGTCCCACACACTGGGACAAAGGTGATCATTTCAAGGCAGCAAACTAAGCCATTCCTCTGCTTAAAAGACTCCCAATGTTCCCAGCTGCTCTCAGAAGCAAAATCGAACTCCTGACCAGGGCTTCCCAAGCCGCACAGTGACTGACCCCTCCCCTCCCACCCGCTTGCTCTAGCCATGTTGACCTTCGATGCTTTGATCTCTTGGCCCAACACAGTGCCCTTGCACATGCTGTTCCAGATACCTGCTATGTTCTTCCTTATCTCTTCCCCACAGTTAATAGTTGTTTATTCTTCAGAGCTCAGCTGAAACATCATTTCTTCAAAAAAGTGGTCCCTGCCCTGGGCAGGTGGCTACATTGGTTAGCTCACCCTTCCATACAGCAAAAAGTCTCGGGACTGATCCCCACTCGGGGCGCGTGTGGTAGGCTACCAGTTGATGCTGCCTGTCCTGCCCTCGAATCAATAAACATATAGGGCCCACTTAGAACAGTGGCTTTCTGGGCTTTTTTTTTTACTGTGACCCACAGGATGAAATACATTTGACTTCGTGACCTAGCATATATACAGGTAAATTGAATCATGGCCAGTCTTACCCCTACTATTTGATATATTTCTCCTATTTCACCTAAATGCATTATGGAACACTCATTTTGAAAATAAAAAAGGCCTAATTAACCTTATAGAACTATATCTGCCCTTCAAAGCACTCAGCATATTTTTAATGATTATTGAATTATATCTCTTTTAAAATCTGTGTTAGAATGTATTTGGTATTTTGCTTGTTGCCATAGCCCTTACTTTTAGCAAACTATTTAAGCCTCAACAGCCACTTAATATTTGAACAGTGAAAAATATAAATTGGTAACTCAGCACTTTTTCTTCTGGCACTTACCACGATTCTAACAGACTCTAATTTCCCGCATGATCGTTAGGGTTCTCTACTCCGGACCCTAACTCCATGAAGGCAGGGATCCTGTTGGCCCCTCTCTCTGCCTCCAGCACCTAACATAGCACCTGGCAAACAGTCAATGAAAATCTTTTCCCAAGTACACTGTCCAAATCCAGGCACCTACACTCTGTCAAGCACAAGTGAATTACAGTTGAGACGTGTCTCCTGCTCTGCACAGTTCTGTACTTTAACACCAATTGCCTCAGACTTCAATCTTTGCTTCAGAGACTACAGGAAAGCCAGTTTATTCCAAAAGGCAAATGGAACCTATATTGGAAACAAATTCTTCATGGATAGCCAGATATGGAGGTCAGGAACTACCCAAAAGTAAATACTTAATTATACAGAAAGAGTTTATTGGTTATAAGTATTTAAAAAAAATACTAAGTTGGAAATGCTTCATGTAATCTCTAGTCCTTAAGATAGATGTCACTGCTACTACTTCATAGCATTCACACTCTTCTACACACTTCACACTCTTGCTAGACATTATGTATTATATATTACACTTGTTTGAATAGAACAAGACATAGTTTGTACTTACCTTGTAATTCCCAGGATAGCTGCCCTATAGACGAAGGTTATGGAAGTGAGTGAATTGCTCCAACAGATGGTATAATCCCAGCTAAGCTTCTTGACACATCTTTGTGCAGAAGTCACGTGGACGCAGAAACATGAATGGTTTTAAGTGATTCAGTTGCTTGGCTTACAGCAAAGTGTTTGACGTCATAAACTCAGCCACTTGGGGTGAAAACTCTTAATATTTAATGTATAATTAATCTCTTTATTCCATTTTCTATTCTTCCCTGTATTTACTTAAGTTCTTAAAAAGAAATGCTTTTGTTCAAGTTTCTCACAAATCCAGGGTCTCCTCTACTGGGACATCAGATAAACAATATTCTTGCACATAGGACATGACGAAGCAACACATTTCTGGTTAGTCTTTGAGTGAGTTTCCGTATTTTCATTAATTATGTTTAATACATAGAACATGTATGTATGGATGTCAAAAACACGAGAGTCAGAAGAGGGCTGGAGGCTCAACAGAACTGCAGTTCTTAGTTCCAACAACAACAAAAAAACTGACTAGCAATGATCAGCAATACTGAGGGGCACCCCTACCATGCAGACCGTGGCCTACAGACACCGTCTCCACAGAAGAGAGACCAGGGGTCACTGGGGAAATGATGGCTTCCGGCCGGGACAGGAAGTATGAGAAACAAATATGGAGAACAGTGGGACTGACTGGGAACGCAGCGGCCGAGTTAAAGAGGCTCCCACTGGCTCAAGGGGACACAATCAATAAAGAAAACAATAAAATGGGTTGAAAGACAAATATGTTTGGACCTGAGTTCATACTAATAAACACAAAATTCACGATTCACTTTCAGATGTGAACCCATTATTCTGAAAACTAGTAAATCAAGGAAATTACATATTTATCTCTTGCTTTTGCAATACAAATTGTACCCCAGGGTAAAGAAACAGTTGATGAGGGCTCGTTTCTTTTTTTTAGAAGTATTCCGGCTAAAAAAGAATGGCAGAATTAAACTATCACTATTTTGCAGATGAACTAATCTAGCTCTTGATTGTCAGTGGCAGCTGAGATCACAAAGTGACAGCCAGACATCAGTCCTCCTGGAGGACACGCCAGGCCTGTGAAATAGTCCCACCAGAAAATTCCAACCCAGATGTAGTCAAGTCTCAAGATTAGCATTGTCCAATACAGATGTGAACCACAGATGTAATTGTGCATCCCAATTCAAACGGACTTTCCATTTAAACTCTCAATTTCAGGTGCCCAAGAGCCACACATGGCTACCATATCAGAGCGTGTAGCTCTAACCACTAAATTAAAAGAAATACAGAAAAGAGGAACATGCTGTCACAAGGATGCAATTAGCAACATCCAGACTGGCAAGTCATCAGGAAAAAATGACCTGATTTTTTCAAGTAATACATCACATGGGAGAGAAAGAGAGAGAGCCCAGGAGGAAGCAGGACTGCAGGTGATCAGAAACTTAACAGACACATCAGCCAGCAACGCAGACTGCAGCTAGGTCTTGGTTTGAACAAAGTATAAAACTCACATTTATGAGATAAGAAAATTTGAACATTGACCGGAATTTGGATGTTATTAAGGAGTCGATTCATTTGTGATAGGGCACTGTGGTGAAAATTTTAAAATATCATTTGGAGCTATATATTGAAAAACTTACGAAGTAATATGATGTCTGTGATGTGCTTCAAAATAATCTGGAGTGAGTGCTAGGGGTACGGATGACACAAAACCGCCCGTGACTTGACCATTATTTTACGCCTGATGATGGGTGCACGGAGAAAATTGCATTATTCTCTTTACTTTTGATGTCTGAAATTTTCCACTTATTTTAAAAGACTGAGGGATAGAATTACAATGACACTGTCCATATTCTCAGATGTATAATTTGTTAAAGATACATCTTTCTTTCTAAACCCACGAAGTAGCAGTAATTGCTGCTGACGTCACTACACAAGGCAACAAACCAAGAAAAACTTAAAAGATAAAAACCAGACAAAGATAACACTCACTTTATTAAAACTCTGCAAAAACTGCCAGAGGAAAGGGAGAATGGTTTCCCCCGGCGTTAAACGCCTTCCCCTTGGGTTGCACTGCCTGAGTTTCCCTGAGTCCCTGCTTCACGCTCCCTGGCAAGGCTCTGGACACCAAACATACAACACACAAGTTCTCTTTGATTTCTACTTTTCCCGCGCCTCATCAGAGAGCAAATGGTGGAAAGTTTTAACGGAAGGGTTATTTCTGAGGTTAATCACGTAGGACTTTCAGGTTTATAGGCTCAGACATACACTCGGGAGGAGAGCTGGCTCTCGCGCCCCGTTAACTATGGCACACACACCGCACAGATGCACCGTGCAAGTTAAGCAACAGAAAGGGACAAAGGCGACAGGATCTCGTACCCAACAGCTTCCAACTACATGACATCATTTCCAAAGTTGATGGTATCCTTTTCTGTCTATCCAGAGCTGGATTCCACAAAGGCTGGTGTTGGAGATGCTGCTGTGGCAAAATGTCTATGTGATAAATGTGAATTTTGGAGTGAAAAATGTGTTTCATCAGTGTGAAAGTATGTGCAGTGATTTGGAAGGCAACAAATTAAAGGCAAAGGCTCAAACTAAAAAATAAAAATGGTATTTATTTAGCTTTTTATAAATATAAATAACAATAAATGGCAAAAGGCAGAATAAAACAAAACAAAGAGCTGACATGTTACATCACTGATCGACTCCAGGCACAAGAGCATTTAGTGATGAGCATAAAAAAATAAGCTGCATTGTTTTTAGCTGCTTTTCCCCTAGCTTTAACTATTGAATGCATGGATGTTTTTGGAGCTCAAGTTCCTAGGAAAAGCCCGTAAGCTATGCCAGCTCCCACTGAGTGCATGAGGTCCAGGTCTCACTCCCATAGGGAAATTAGTTTCCATCCTTGGGAATCCTGAACTAGACCTCCAGGAACATAAAAAGCAGTTCCTTTCATTAGGATCCTTCTAACGTGGGGGAAAGGGAACCATTATCCATTAAGACACCCTCCAAATTCGGGTACTGTGCAGGTGTTCTAGTTCTCCACATGACCACCTGACTCAGCCACCAGCTGTTCTACCAGCCCAGCCTGCAGCCTCGCAAGCTGCACCAAAAGTGGGATCTGCAAAACCAAAGGTAGAGCATTTTGACCTTTCTCCCCGGAAGTCAGAGGGCTTTTTGGGTAGGAAGGGCAAGGAGGTTTTGCAACAAACTTGCCTTCACACTCAGTACTGGGGGAAGGGCTGCTACACTGCCTGGTGCACACCTGTGTGGAGTGTATGGCGTGTACTCACCCATCACCACTCAAGGAAGTGCAGTGAACTAATAAGTCACTCTGGACCAAGCCCCTCAAAACAGAGGCAAATTCAATGAACCAAGGCATGTGGTCATAGCCCTAGTTTACCTAGGTTCTTTCCTAAAGAACCACATTAATCTCCTGATTCAAGAAGCACCACTGGCCAGGACAGAGCACAGGAGGAAAATGTAACTTCTGGGTAGGGCCACGCCATGCGGAGTCACAGGCTGATGTTCAGTCTAAAGCATAAGAAGATGGCAGCGTCACTAATATTTAGAGCTGGAAAGAGCGTTGCCCGGTCCACACTCCTGGGGCGTCTTCGCTACTGCAGCTTTATGGCGGTGGCCCAGATGTCGTTGCTGGGGAGCGGGGGAAGGACCCATCCTTGGGGAACAGAGCTGCCTTTAGGATGATCAGATGGCACCAGGTACTGATCCCAATCATGCCTTAACAAGAACATTGTATAACAACTATTTATTTCTGTTTTAGTCCAAGCAAGATGTTCAGCAACTAAGTACTCTATTTCGGAACTTACCTTTTCAGTGAATGACTGACACACTAGTCCACGTAAAGAACTAGATTACTAGGAATTATGCAAAAGACTGTAATTCTTAAATATGCATATAAAAGGGATAAAACTCCAAAGAACTTATAATCTTATAGATAAACAAATAATTAATACACAATCAATCCTCATTATTTGCAGATTCCATATTCATAGATCTGCCTATTCAATCAAATTTAGTTGTGACCCCAAAATCATTACTCGTGGAGCTTTTGTGGTCACTGGCCAACATGCACAGAGAGGCATAAAACCTGAGTCACTGACGGGCACGTCCCTACTGAGGCCAGACACAGCGACACTCTGCCGTCTTGTTTTTAGCTCTCATGTTGTAAACAAGTGTCCTTTTTGCAGTCTATTTAGTGTCATGTGGGGTTTTTTTTTTGCATTTTTGTGCTTTTATTGGTGATTTTGCTATTTAAAACACCCCCCAAGTATAGTATTGAAGTGCTAGCTGGCTTGAGAAGGCTGTGATACACCTTACGGAGAATATACAGATGTTAAATAAGCTACATTCAGGCATAAGTTATGCTGTTAGCTATGAGTTCGATGTCAATCAATCAGCAAGATATGTTAAATGAGGTGTTGTTGAAAATACATACACGGCCCTGGCTGGTGTGGCTCAGTGGATTGAGCACCAGCCTGTGAACCATAAGGTTGCTGGTTTGACACCCAGTCAGGGCACATACCTGGGTTGCAGGCCAGGTCACCAGCTTGGGGTGAATGAGAGGCAACTGATGAATGTTTCTCTCACACATCAGTGTTTCTCTCCCTCCTCCCCCCGCCCTTCCCCTCTCTCTAAAAATAAACAGATAATCTTTTTAAAAATCCACCTAAAACCATGTTGTGTGCTCATCGGTTGAGGAAAACGCCGTGGCCAGAGGCCCAGGAGAACCGCGCCCTGCCGTCCTTTGGGGGCAGCAGTCCGGCGACCTCTGCTTCAGAGTCAGGGTTTACAGAATGCAGCTGCTGCGAGCAACACGGACGGACTGCACTTACGTTTGAAAGTTAAAATGTGTATATTAGCCAGAAATACATACTTTCCCCAAAACACAAACTTGGTATGCAAAAGAGCACTGGGGGAACTTTGGAAGGAACCTCAGAGATCACTTAGGTCGGTGATTTTCAAACTAGGATTTGAAGACCCTTAAGCCCAAGTACATGTCTTGAGGAGTCTGGAAACCACAGTGCTTTCCTGTCAGTAACAGATTTAAGGTGCCTGTAGGGCCCATTCATCCATTCTAACTACTCTATAAACTGATCTGTGCAAAGGCTGCATTTGGACAGAGTATCACTGCCGGAGTTTGAAGGCTACATTCTAGTCCACCATCTTCATTTTACAGGTGAGGACAGTGAGACCCAGAGAGCTGCGAAGTTTAGCTCCTCAGTAACTGCATGTGAAGGTGAGACTCTCATTCCTAGCTCTCCTGACTTTGACCTGTAAGAACTCATAGGTCAGCAGCATGGATCTTAAACAGCCTCCACAAGCAAGTATACAGGGAGGGTCTGTTTAGCAGCAAAAGAGAACTAGATAAAGAAAAACTGCTCTGAATCAACTAACAGCACAGCCTGGGAGAATACAAAAGGGCAGGCCACAAACTGAGTTTGCTTCTTCACCTGCTAAAATAGGGACATCTATGTACTTTTCAAAGATGAAATAAGACAAAACAAGACATTTCTGGCATCTCTGAAACTTGGAAACTCTATATAAACCTAAAGAAACTTGAAAAAACCAGACACAGGCGCCACGGAGAGGCCCCTCTAACCTTATCTGGATGAGCGCCGGCAGGGAGTGCTCAGCCTGGAGGTAATACTGTCGGAAGGGCTGCAAGAGGTGAGCGAGCGGGAACTCATCTGAAAAAGAAAAGGCACAGTACCACGTCATCCTGCTTCCTGTTTAGAATCTATTTCTTAAGGCACGATAACTGGGCCTTTGATGACAATATGATCAAATGTGTTTCATCTCTGCCCATGATTTCCAGGACACAGTTTGGCATTTCAGACCCTGAAGGTGTCACCACTGCGCACCACTGCTTAGCTGAGCGTGAGGTCGCCCACGAGGAAGAAGTCAGTCTAGCGTTTTCCTTTTCTCCCCTGGTGACAGAGGAACTCACCTGGGTCTCCAAATAACTTGGACTCAATCTCATGCTTCTGCTGTAAAATTTTCTCTTTTTCTTTCCTCTGTTTCTTCTCTAGTTCTCTTTTCCTCTCTTCCTCTTGTTCTCCTTCCAGCATAACTCTGAGGGCTCTCTCTTCAGCTTCATATAGTTCAGAGCGTTTTTTAATGAGTTTTCTCAGTCGCTGAAGATGATGCTCAAAAGTCTCATCTGCTGAGGCCGGAGGACAGACCCCTGGGCAAAAAGATCCAAATAGCATTTAGTTACAATTTCTTCTTATCCTCAAATCTGTGTTCTACAGAGCAGACTCAAAGTCCTACTTACAGAGTGAATTGGTAAATTCTAACCAGTCTCCAAGGGTCAATTCGATCTCCAGTCTCCAATCAATCTGACCCTACCCTGACTTTCCCTTTCCTCTAAGTCCTCTCTCCGGGGCATACCACTTAACCTTCGATTTTGTTTATGTCTAATGGTTTTGATCCTGCAGTTGGACAGTGGGCTCCCGTTTCCAACAGCTAATAAACAACTTTCCCTCTGAGTGTGAGGTTCTGGGAGAGCACATGTGGTTGCTGAGGAAGAAATGTCCTTAACCAACCACAATGACCTCACTGCTGAGAGAAGGGTGAACGACTGTTTCAGTCTGCCCGCTTTTAGCATTTAAAGCCCAGTGTCTTTGGAGACCTGGGATGGTTAGCCACCCTGATTTATCTGTGAGGTCAGCTAATAGTATAGCCAACATAGCTAGAGCCATAACTGGGCACACTTTAGGCTAGTTCCTAGGTGATATCCAAGAATTCTTACTATGGGATAACGGCATACTTGATGATGGGTATTTTATTTTGGTGTGCTATTTTTGTGCACGTATGAAATTTTTCATAAAATCTCATAAGGAAAATTTTAAATTAAATGAACACCCGAGCAGATCACAGCTGTGCATTCACTACCGTAACGGCCCTGCAATACAAAAGCTGCTGAAGCTGCTAGGTGGCTTGTCCTCGAGGGATGGGAGTGTGGTCCATCCTGCTCATCTGTTAAGATTTTAAAGGAAAATGTATTTATTACGGCAGCAGTTCAACAATGCCGGATACATGCAAGAAAAAGAATCCTAATCCCACTGACATGATCAACCATTTTTATTTCCCCATGCTGATCCTTCAGGTGTTTTGCCCATAGATTAGCAACTTCACGGAGTTCAGCATACTGTGTGTGTAATTTCCACATTGCCATGTCAGTTTCCTACATTCCTTCCATCTCTTTATATAATTATTGAATGGCTCCATCCTGTTTCACCAAATCAATGTATCTATCATAATTTACTTAATAAGCTCCTTCCTCCTGGACACTGAGGCTGTTCCAAAGGTCCTGTTATCGTATCATGCTACAATGAACACTCTTGGGCACGTTACTTTTTCCTTTGTATGGATTATTTGTACAACGTAAATTCTCGGGAGTGGAAATTTTATGAATACTTCCAAGACTACCTGAGACCTACGTATAGTACCAAATTGTTTCTTTAAAAAGTTACACATTTACTCAGTACCTAACACTTAACACAAACAAAGTGATAAATACTGATTTATTTAACAAATGATGCTCAACGAGGTTCTGGCACTAAATTTTCAATTTTGGCAGATATGCGCTTTCCCCCGAGGCTAAGATTTCTCCAGATGGAGTTCTCATGACTGCCCTGCCTGACCAGGTTTCTGTTCACTCATTCCCCCCTGGAGATGGAGATTTGACAACTCAACTCCACCATCTACTAAGTTGCTGGACTCTTATTTTCCAAATACAAAACACACATAAAATTCTTATGCACAGAGAAATTTAAGCTGTCACTATGTTGTCTGTAATAATTTCATGGTTTTAGTTTCTTTACCTAGAACAGGGATTAGGAAATTTTTTCTATTAATGGCTACACAGTCAGTATTTTAGGCTTGTGGGCCATATAGTCTCTGTTGCAACCACTAAAATCTGCCCATATGTTGGAAATATGTAGACACCCGTCAGCCCCTAAGTGCTCCAGACAACAGGAGGAGCTGTGGCCTGCTCCCGTGTTGGGCTGCCAGGCCTGTGCCACCCACCCATAGCACCCTCTACCTTCCATGGATCACTCCTGGTTAACCTGGACACATTCGCTTGGAAATGGCATTCCTCCTTCAGTCTTCCTCTCGACCCCATGTGCTGACATGGTCTAGATCTCCTCCACCTCCACCACTTACTCCTGTAGTTCCAGCAGCTCCTAGGTACCAGCTGCCTTTATTCCCTTTCTGCTGCCTGCACCTTGGGGCCTCATCCAGTCTTTGGACCTTGGCATAATCAGAAAATACTTCCCCCCCCTGAAATCTGAAACCTGATTATTCACTTCTCTGACAATTTTCTACCCTTCCAGTCTTCTCACCTTCTTCTCCCACCTCATGTATCAGATTCCACCCATTTTCCATTTGTTCTCACCAAAACTTGTGGTCACTCACAAAGCCAAATCCCAGTAGCCCAGTGCTCTGTGCTCACGTGCCAGCTGCAGAGTTCTCCTGGAAGAAGCCATCTGATCACGTGACCTGGAGCCAGTGTACAGCCTCCAGGGCACCTCCCTGCAACCACACTCCTGAGGGTCTCTGCGTGGCTGTCACTCATTCCTCACAGCTGCTAGTCCAAAGCTCTCTGAAAGCCCTGCTTCTCTACTGACTCTGAGAGCAAACCATCTAACCTACTTCCCAGAGAAGACAGGCCACCAGGCAGGAAAATCTCTTAACTTCCTGCGCTCAATTCCACTCATCTGCATTGCTACCCATCCTTGTCTCCTTCATTTTCATTCCAGTGGAAAATGGGTGCTTCCCCAGTTAAGTTAATCCCTCCGCCTGGGATCCGACTCTCACTACCTCCTGCACGATCTTGAGCCATCAACTGTTCCTCTGCTCCTCTTTGACCCTTCTCCCTCTGTTTACTCCTTGGCTCAGCCTTTAAACATGCAAGCTCTTCCCATGACCCTCAGATGCGTCCCTCTCCCACCCCTGCACACGCAAACACACTGCCAGGTGCTGATCTTGCACCCTCCTTCCTACACAGGCGAACCTTCGTAAGCTGACCTCGCTGTCGGCTTGTCTTCTGGCCTACTCCCTCTTTAATACACACTAGTCCGGCTTCTACTCCTTCCACTGCGCTGAAAAGCCCCTAGGCATAGGTCACTACTGATCTGCTGGGTACTAATTCCCATGGGCGTTTCTCACTTTTTATCACTCTATAATAAAAATAAGATGGGACACACATACAGCATTTACTATGTGCCAGGACCATGTCAAGCACTTTACACCTGGTTCCCAATCTAATCATCACAACCACCCATGGGCTGGCACTGTCGCTGTCCCCTTCTTACAGCCGAGGGAACCAGGGCCCACAGTGTAAGTAAATGAGCCAGGACCGCTCAGTGTCTCCAAGCACTCGCCACTTTGCATGAGGAGGCCACATGTCTACCTTTTCCTCCGCCCTCTGACCTGTCTCCATCTCTTTTGTGGCAGCATCCCCTTTATTCATCTTGATTTTAACATTCCCCTGGATTTTGTCGTTTTGGCTCTCATCCCTCACTGCCCACCCTCCTTTCGGTCTGTGTACATGCTGACGAGCCCTTATCTAGGATGTCCCACAGCCACCTCAAACTCAAGAGGTCCCCAACTGAACTTGTTAACTCAAAGCCGCCTCCTCCTCCTGTTCTCCTGGTCAACTAGAATGGTATCATCACTCACTCAGTAGATTAAGCGAGAACTGAAAGTCATTTTTTCCCCTTCAGCTCCCACATGCTCAGTTCCCCCAAGTTACTTATGTATATGAACACACACACAAACACACTCCACTTTATTCACATCTCTTAAATCTGGTTACTTTTCTCCAGCTCACCATCTGGCCCGTAGCTCACCCGCCCACACTATTCCTGCCCAGACTACAATAGCCTTACCCGCCTCTCTTGCGAGATGTTCCCAACCTTTCTCTGCTCCACCAGCCCTGACCTTTGCCACCGTCTCACACTCAGCTTAAAATCTCGCAGTGGTTCCCCTCAGCTTTAAGCACAAGGGAGAAGTCTAGCCCGGCCTGTAAGACACACAGTGATGTGGCCCTACTTACAGGCCCAGCCTTGTTCTCTCAGCACTTACGTGGAGGTGCATACTCTCTGAAAACAGAAGTTAGAAAGCCTCTTGTTTTCTTTTAAAGCAGACAGTGCAGCCAGTTGCTAGTTACCAAACACTTTCACATTCAGTCAGCTAGCCCTGCACAGCCTGCTTGTTTTTACAGATCCTAATTCCCCCTACAATTGCCTTTACTTTGGGCCAAACAGAGGGAGACTAATAGTGATAAATTATGCTGGTAAATTCACTTGGCAAAATATCACTGGCCCTCGCCTCACAGAGGACACGGAGCAGGGGAGCATGAGACAGTAACCCTCAGGTTCTGCAGTCTCATAAGGAAGAGACATGCACAGACACAGCAGATGACGCACGGATGCCCCATGGAACCATCTGATTCTGAGGCCTGGATCCGAATCAGCCACTCTAAAGGCTGGCGCAGAAGCTCGTCACTTAGCGAGTGAACAAACCTAGCTAAATATACAATGGTCACAACCCAACACAACTGTATTAAGGGTCTGAATCACAGTTTTCACTTACAGTTTAAACCACACAGAGGAGTTCCTGGATAGTGTGGTATTTGTGTACTCTCAGATACCCCTGGTGAATGCCAATGGCTCACAACCTACTAAGGCAGCATGTGGCCTGAACTAGGTTCAAGTGAGAGGGAGCAGGAGGTCACCTCAGCCCAGGGCAGAAGGGATGGTGGATGCTGCATCTAGATTTGGTTTTGAAGGACAGAGAGAGCTTAACATAGCAAAGATAGGGCTGGGGCCCTCCAGCCAAATAGATTAGCAAGAGCAAGGATCTGCACAGGCAAAGGGAAGGTACAACTGGGGAACTCTAGAGGCAAGAGGGGACCACTGAGGTTTCCTGAGTCCAAAGGTGACATAAAGATGAAGGGGGTGGGGGAGACCCATGCAGTATGCAGGGTACTCACTCCCTGCCCTGTCCAACCATTCACACCTCTTCAAATATCCACGTTTCAGGTTTGAAATGTATCTGAAGGAACTTACAAAGTTTTCAACACCTTCTGAAGCACCAAGTAAGACTAGGATAGGACAGCTTTCACCTTGGCACATGGGTAAAGTTGACCAGCATGGCAACCTCACTTGGAAAACTGTGGCCAGGACTGCCTGGGGCGGGAGGCACGGGTCAAGGGGAAGACGGTGCAGCAGTTTCCACACCTTTCCAACCTTGGCTGCCAAGAGCTAAACACCTTCTTAGGCTTTCTATTTCAAAGCTTCTGAGGTATCGCTGCCATGCTATTACCCTACTGGGTGACAGTAATGAAGTATCAAGCATTTTCCTTCAAAATTTTTGGGGAAGGGCAAATGCTATGGTAAAGGAAGGAACAGAGGAACGAAGGAAGAAATGCAAGTAGATACGCAAAGCCATGGTTACCTTTCCTTGCTGCAGCCTCTTTCCTGAGTTTCCTCAGTTTCTCCAAGGCCCGAAGAATGTCCACCATTCTTTTGGTGTCTGCCTGTTTTTTCCTCACTTCAGATAAGACACTGTCGGCAGCGGCTTTAAGTTCCTGTTCCTGGAGGAGACAGAGAGCCCATGACAACAGCTGCCCAGTAGTGAGATTTTAGGGAATCAGACAGTCCTAGTGTTAAAAAGAACTCTACCAGCCCTGACTGCTGTGACTCAGTGGACTGAGTGCCAGCCTGTGAAACAAAGGTTCGCTGGTTCGAATCCCAGTCAGGGCACATGCCTGGGTTGCAGGCCAGGTCCCCAGGTGGGGGCGTGTGAGAGGCAACCACACATCGATGTTTCTCTCACTCTCTTTCTCCTTCCATTCCCATCTTTCTAAAAATAAATAAACTCTTAAAAAAAAAAAAGGACTCTACGAGACCTACATCTCAATTTCCTTGGCCTTGTACACAACACCCCTCTACACTGGTCCAGTCAAAGGACTACCCTCCCTGCAGCTTCCAAGTAGGCATTGGTCTTTGTTTTCTCCTCAGAGTTTCTCCAAGTCTGGCCCAAGGACCATCTGCATTCAACTTGCCTTGTTAAGTTGGGGCTCTCATGAACAATGCAGACACGTGGACACTAAGGTTGAGGACGGCAGAGAAGACAAGGAATGGGGCTGGAAAGGCCCAGTACTTCACTTCACAATGCTCAGTGACGACCTAAAAAACTCCACTGCCACGGATCTCTTCGACATGACAGCCTTTCAAACACCTGAAGACCCTGTCCTACTTTGCTTAAGTTGATTCACATGTACACTAAGTAATTCTGGTCCCTCAGGCCACCACTCAAGGGACTCTGTCTCCAGCGCCCACACCATAGGTGCAGGGAAGATCTTTTACCTAAAGCTCTTTTCCACCTGGCAATTCAGCGCCTGCAGTCCCACCATTTCAGCTCTGCCCTGCTGCTTCACTCCTCTCCGTGCACTGCTCCCTCTGCCGGGGCTGCACCTGCTGCTCTCACTTGACTTTGGCATTTCCTTCAAGACTCAGTTCAGCTGTCACTTTATCACCTAAGCCTTCCCTGATACCTTCCCCAAAGGATTAGATATTCCTTTTCTGGGCACCTGCCACTGAAATCTCAACACAGAATGCAATACAGACATGACCCCCATGGGGCTCTAAGCCCCTCAAGGACAAGCATTATGTCCTATTTATCTCTATCCCCAGCCCCCCGCACTGGGCCTGGCACATGAGGGGCCCTTATTAAATGTCTGAACTGACTCAAACTCCCTTAGATTAAGGCCTTGCCTCCAAGTATTCTTAAAAGCACTGATGCTCTTTGGAGCTTGAAGACAAAGCTGGCCATCTATACACTTCAGAGGGGGAGTTACATCATACTCTAGGGCAGTAGCAGACACCAGGAGGAGGGGGAGGGAACACTAGCTGGTAGTGGAGAGTGAAGGATGGTGCAGAGTGCCTAGAGGCACTCAAAAGTAGTAACAATGCCTTGAACAACTATTTGACCAATTTCAAGTTTCACTCTGGCCCCCTCTTAAGAGTTTGAGGTCAACAGGCTTTGGAGTCACATGACCTGGGCTCAACTCAGGAGTGAAACCACCGCAAACCAGTTGTGTAATTGTTGGCAGGTTAACCTCCCTAGGCTCCTTAATCTGTAAAGTCAGGATAATATTGGGTTGGCCAAAATGTTCGTTTTTTGTTTTTTTTTTTTGTAAGATGGCTCTAGTAGTGCTTAGTTGTCTTTAACTTCATTCAAAATAATTTTGTTAGAGCACAGGTGGCAAACACAAGGCCTGTGGCCCTCCACCTTGTTTTATCCAGCTGGCGCCTTGTTTCCACCCAGTGGCAGCGGCGAGCTCTCGCTTAACAGTTAAGTAGTAGTTACATTTATATAGTCCTAAAGTTACATTCGGCCCTTTGAAGGCAACCTTGAGGCTGATGTGGCCCCTGGTGAAAATGAGTTTGACACCCCTGTTGCTAGGCTGTATACATGCAACAGCTTTCATATCAGTGTGCATTAAAAAAAAAAACTTATCGTCCTGGCTGGTGTAGCTCAGTGGATTGAGCACAGGCTGCGAACCAAAGTGTCGCAGGTTCGATTCCCAGTCAGGGCACATGCATGGGTTGCAGGCCACAGCTCCCAGCAACCGCACATTGATGTCTCTGTCTCTCTCTCTCTCTCACTCTCTCCCTCCCTTCCCTCTCTAAAAATAAATAAATAAATCTTAAAAAAAAAACTTACCAAAATTGGTGAATTTTCTGTAGTCATTTTAATTTTGAAGATGAAAAAAATATGCAATGTTTTCAACACATTATGCTTTATTATTTCAAGAAAGGTAAAAAGGCAACTGAAATGCAAAAAAAACACAAAGATTTGTGTAGTGTGTGGAGAAAGTGCTGTGACTGCTCAAAGGTGTCAAAAGTTGTTTGCGAAGTTTCATGCTGTATTTCTCACTGGTTGATGCTCCATGGTCGGGTGGACCAGCTGAAGTTTCAGTGATCAACTCGAGAAATTAATCGAGGACAATCAGTGTTCTACCACGCAGGAGATTGCTGACATACTCAAAATATCCAAATCAATAAAGTTATAAGTGAAAATGTGTCTTATTTTACAGAAAAAAACTAAACGAACTTTTTGGCCCATCCAATACCACCTACCTCTCAGGGTTGTTACAAGTTTTCAAGATCTGGTGTATGTAACAAGGTTAGAACAGTGCCTATTACAGATATGAAGTGCTGAAAAATACCATTGTTGAACCTCAGCATGTGTGATTTAGAACTTGTAAACACAGGCATCCTGAGGAAACCATCACTATTGACCCATTAACCAGTTAGGGTATATGTTCCTTGAGGAAAAGCCCCAGGTACTCTATATTTTGTATTCTTAAAATCATGTAGATCCCATAGGCTTGTTAGTCTTGTAATGTTGGTGTCAGAATTTCAGAACGTTAGTGCAGGAGTTCCGTCATCCCTGCAACGCCACTGAGTAATCTACTTTGTTCACAGGGCTTTGCAGTGCACCTAAAGCATTTGTGTTGTGTACTATACACCATTAACACGTAATCAGTACGGAGATTTGCGGTTGGAAAGGCAAGCTATCTTTTTATTTTAGAATGAGGAAAATGGCTTCGCCCTGGGGAATGGCCGTGCAAAGCCTCATGACCTTTCACATTCCAAACACCACTATCTTTACTCCCGCGCGCAACCGCTCGCTCTTACCCGCTTCTTCTCCTCCACCTCCTGCACACACTTGACTCTCCAGCGGTCAATCTCCTGCTCGCGCTCCGCAGCTCGCGCAGCCTCCGCCTCCCGCTCGGCCTCGCGTTCCCTGGCCCTCTCGCGAAGCCGCAGCCGGCGGCGCCGGACCCTCTCCAGTCTCCGCCGTGCCTCGCCTACATAGGCGGCCTGGGTCAGCAAGTGCAGTCGCTCAGACAGTTCGGCGCGCAGCGGCCCCGCCTGGGCGTGCAGCAGTGCCCAGGCCGCACCGTCGGCCTCGGCCTCGCGCAGGGCTTGGCCCAGGTCTCGCAGCCGCCGCACCAGGCGCAGAGCCCCGCGTAACCGCGCACGCACTTCGCCCAGGCTGGGCCCGCAGGGCGCGCGCGGGGGCACAGGGCAGCCCCCTCGCCGAGGGGTTCCGAATACCGCCTCTAGCCACTGCCGGTCGCGCAGGCGCTGCAGGGACGCATCCCCAAGCACGTCGGGCGGCGGCCCATCAGGCCAGCGCGGGCTCCAGGGCGGCCCGGGGGCTGGAGGCGGCGGCCGCGGGCGCTCGCCGGCGTCGATCCCTATGAAGGGCCGGCACTGGGGAGGCGGCGGAGGAAGCGGCGGTGGAGGCACCGGGTAGAAGGCACCTCCGCTGCCGCCACCGCCGCCGGCACGGGAGGCTTCCCCAGGGGCCCGGGGCTGCAGAGCCAGCGGGGGCTGGAGGAAGGGAGCGGAGGCCCCGGGAAAGGGGCCGGGTCGCTGGGAAAGAGGCGGCGGGAAAGCGGGGGAGGGCAGCGGCGGTGGCGGACAGCCGAAGGGAGCGGGAGGCAGCGCCTGCGGAGGTGGTGGGCCGGGGCGACCTGGGGTGAAGAACGGTGGCAGAGCCATGGCTACCACCGAAGGATTCTGAGAAGTGACAGGAACCTGAGTGATTTCCCGAGTCTTCCGGGAGGAAGTGACGTATACCACGCGCGACGCGTGTGACGCGTTAGGCGCATGGGTGGACATTCATTCAATCCTGCTAATTGAGAGTTGTAAGTGTGGAGACGTCTGCTTTGCAGACGAGGAGACTGAAGGATACAGTTCCTGTCCTGTGGAACTACCGGTCTAGTAAAGAAAACACATTAATTAACTAATTATGCAAACAAATGTAAAAGTGCTGCGGTGAATGTAAGTACAGTAATACCAAAGAGGAAAACACGGGGCGAGAAGAGCTTATAGAAGAATTTGACTGTCAGAAAAGTTGGGGAAGGTTGTCCTATGGATTTATGCTTCAACTGAGGAGTTAAATAGAAGAGAGGGAAGCACCGTTCAAAAGCATGTGCGAAAGCGCCCTAGCAGATAAGAGTAGGTTTAGTGGGGAAACTGAAAGAATGAACGCCAGCGCGGAGGGAGCACAGAAAGCCTGAAGGGAGCCTGGTGATCCCGGGAGATGGACAGAGATTAGTGTCCAGCATCTCATATCTTAATGAACAATGGGGAAACACTGGGGAGTTTTAAGCGGGAGGGGAAGGGTAAGTCACACTAATGATTTTTTTTAAATTAAACTCTGAGATCATTATAGAGCCATATGAAGTTGTAAGAAATAATGCAGTACTCTTCACCCAGTTTCTCCAAATGGTAGTATCTTGCAAAACTGTAGTGTAATATCACAATCAGGATGTTGACATTGATACAGTGAAGATACAGAATATTTATTTCCATCACTTCCAAGATCCCCAATTTGCCCTTTTGTAGCCACACCCACTTCTTTAATGGCCGACAACCACTAATCTGCTCTCCATTTCTTTAAATCCTGTCCTTTAAAAAATGTTACATAAATGGAATCACAACCTTTCAGGACTACCTATTTCCACTCACTATAATCCTCTGGAGATTCATCTAGGTTGTACTAATAGCGTTCCTTTTTATTGCAATAAAAGTGCAAAAGAAAAAAGTGTGGGTAAAATTGAAAACCACACTTTGCTTATAATCATTTTGTTGAAAAGTGTTTCCAACTTTGGGGTTGTTTCCATTTGGGGGCTATCACGAATAAAGCTGCTATAAACATTCTGTGTACAGGTTTTTCTGTGAACACAAACCTTTTTTCCTCTGGAATAAATGCCCATGAGTGCAATTGCTTGGTCATATGACAGTTGTGTGTTTAGTTTTTAAAGAAACTGCTAATTTTTTTTCCAGAGTGGTTCTACTATTTTACATTACCACCAGCAATATGAGCGATCCAGTTTCTCTGCATTCTCGCACTTTGGGATGTTACTATTCTTTTTAGACATCCTGATAGGTATGTAAAGCTCTCATTGTGGTTTTAATTTTCATTTCCTTAATGACTAATTATGTTGAACATCTTTTCATATGCTTATTTGCCATCTGTGTATCTTCACTGAAATGTCCAATCATGTCTTGCCCATTTTTACTGTTGAGATTAGAGTTCTTTATATATATTCTACATACTAGCCTTTTATTTAATACATGCTTTGCAAATATTTTCTCCCAGTTTATAGCTTGTCTTTTCATCCTCTTAACAGAATTGTGTGTATGTGGAGCAAAAGTCCTTAATTTTGATGAAGTCCAACTTACCATTTTTTTAATTTCATGGATCATGCTTTTGGAGTCAGGTTTAAGAACTCTTCACTTAGTCCTAGATCCTTAAATTCTTCTCCTGTACTTTTCCTATAAGTTTTATAGGTTTACATTTAGGTCTGTGATTCATTTTGAGTGAATTTTTGTATAAGGCTGAGACTTAGGTCAAGGTTCTTCCCCGGCCCCACTTTGGATGTCATCCAGTTGTTCTAGCATCATATAATTAGATCTTTACTTTTTAAAGCAAAGGTAATGGGTGTCCTTTTAGGTAAGAGCCCAGCTATATACCATGAAAAGACTCAAGCGGAGCCTGAGCCACTTCCTAAGGGACCTATTTCTGAGAAACTCTTTGTAATACTCTATATAATATTTACTTGTCTGTTACATGTTAAGTAATTATGTAACATTTAAAGGCTTACCTTAAAGTTTATTAGGGTAAGGCATTCCTTTAACTTTGTATTTTCTAGATGGGTACTCAGTTGTCATTACCATTTATTGAATGTTCTTTTCCTAATTTGAAATACCACCATTTCCAATACTGAATTCCTATGTATATTTAGGATCTATTTCTAGATTTTACATGCTTTTCCTTTGGTCTCTGTTCATTCACCCAGTGTACACACAAATTTGTAAAGCTTTATATACAACTTTTTTTAACAGCAGAGGCAGTACCTCCTCATTCTTCTTTCAGTGTGTTGGTTAAGCAAAGAGGCTCTTGAACCAATCTACCTGGACTTAAATCCTGACTGTTACTACTTGTGTGACCTTGGGAAAGCTACTTAACCACAGGGCCTCAGTTTCATCTGTAAGAAGGGTTACCAGAATCTACCTAAGTGGTTGCATTAAATGAGCACAGAGTAAGTGCTATATGAGTACACATTCTCAGTTTGCTTGTTTACCATTCCTGCCTACTTTTCCATATGAACTTTAGAATCTACTTGTCAATTTTAATTTAAAACCTTATTGGTATTTTATATATTTAATGTTCCAATAATGTAGGGATAACAGACATCTCTATAATACTGAGTTTCCCCATTGAAGAACATGGGATACCCCTTTTCATCAGATTTTCAAAAATAGCTACCTACCCACTCATCCACTTTCCATTGCTGTCACCTTAGTCCAATCCATCATCATCACCTGGGAGGCCGATAATACTAGTGGCCCCAAACATCCGATTCAAACGTCTGCTTCTTTATAGTCTATTCACTTACACTGCAACCAGAATGGCCTTTCAAAACTAAGTCAAATTATGACATTCTCTGTGCAAAACCTTCCAATAACTTCTCATCACTTTGAATCAAAGCCTGGAAAGGAATTAGAAACAGCAAAGCCAACTTTTAGTTTACTGTGGAGGGAATTCGAGTTCAGGGGAGTTGTGTTTTGTTTGCACACTGATACCTGACTTGAAGAACAGGAGGAAAGTGGTGAGGTAGGAGATACAAAGGGCGAGTGCTGAGGAAATGTCCAGGAGCAGGCTTCGAATCCTGTTTCCCGCTGTTCTCCTCAGAGCCTCCTCTTCCCAACAGTCCAAAAACGCACCTAATAGTGTCCAACTTTTCTACTTAAAACCCTTTTAATGCCCTACTTTCTACATAAAATTACAAGTCAACCTAGTATACAAGATACTCTATTATTTGTTTTAAAATGAATGGAGCACCAAATAAATGAAGCACTTTGGTAGGTGCTGTCATAGTTAACAAAACAGGCATGGTCTTCACCATGTGTAGTAGGAAAGGCAAACAAGTGAAAAATAAACTTGGGATGTTTGCTGTAGGACAGGAAATACTAGGCAGTGTCTAGATGCTGCTGGGAATGATTCAGAAGGAGAAAATGTAGTAGAGATACAGACAAAAGAAATAAAGGTCTTGAGAAATGATGGGATCCCCTTTAATGATGCTGAGTTTTGGTAAGAGGGATTCTTCCGTCTTAGCAGGAGAAAAGGTTGGGTGCTAAAGCAGGTAGATTTACAGATTTGATGATGGGGAGGTGACTTTGATCTTCTGATAGTTTCTCAATAAAATATGAAGCAGAGTCTTCAGTTGAATGGGGAGGAGAGAGAATATATTAAATGGTCATCTCGGAGCAGTAAGGGGAAGTCACACTTGCCTATTTTTCAACTCCTCAATCTCCCTAGTTGTTGTTTCAAATTTCTGTTATTTTCATTATTCCTTTCTGGAAAAGTCCTACTTGCTCTTCTAGATCCATCTGGGCCACTGCCTTCTGTGCGACCACACTTGTTTACCTCATGTTCATTATTATAACGCACCAATGCTTGTGTTTGCATGCCCTAGTAGACTCCGTAAGCTTCTTGAAAAGCTTGGTCTGTGTCCCTAGTGTGGGGCCCATGCATGATATTTACATAAGGATTTTGAATAAATATTTAACATAAACCTTAATAATGGACTTTTTGTCTATGGAATTTATAACCAGGAGAATTTATTAGCAGGATATAAAAGTGCCAAGGATTAACCAAACATTAGAATAAAGCAGCTCACAGTTATCTGTGTCCTTTTAAAAATGGCGCTGCATTATGGACACACCACCACACGGCATTTAGTCCTTTTATTTTATTCAAATGCTAAAACATAAGTTTCAAGATAAAAATTGTAGTTATACTCAGTTGAGTTTGATTTAAAAACAACAATTATGTTTTGTTAACAACTTCCAAACCAAAGTAAGTTGTTGTGACTAAAATGTCTCCCAGTCCATTCCTGGAGGATTACCCTTAATATATTTAGTAGCTACTTCGATTTTCACTCTACAAAAGGAAAATAACGGTGCCATAAGAGAGAGATAATGAACAATTAAAATATGAAAGGCTTCCTGAGAAAAACTTTAACCATTACTAGGGACACTCAGAAGGATACCTGTTTCTGTTCTATTATAGCAACCGGGCTTGAACACTCAGCAAAAGTGAACTCCTGGCCCTACTCCAGCCATACACAGGTGTCTCACATCTCTGACTACATCCCGAAAGTCCAACTCTTCATCAGCAGCCCTGAGAATTTGCTAGTGGCTTTAAAGTTCTCTTCCTAAGAAAGGGGGTAAAAGGAAAACTCGAGAGTCTAGAAACCAAAAAATAAAAACAGATATCTCAATGTATTTGGATTTAAACAATTTCAAATACATTTGAGCTGAATGAATAGTATAGAAAATTGTATCAACATTATAGAAGAAAAAGCTTGAAAGGTACCCAAATATTTTAATATTTATGGAAACATAATTTTCATTTTTAAGTCCCCAAAATATTCCCCACTATTTAATTTTATACAGGGTGGGGTAAAACTAGGTTTACAGTTGTGAGTACACAAAACACAAGAGTTTATTCTTGTATTATTATTATTCTTGTAATTATTATATTATTTTCCATAGGAACAGTAAACCTTTTGCCCCACTCTATAATGAAGATTAATAATTTATATTTTAGTGTGAGCACATTAGCTTATGCTGATAGCAAAGCACAATTTTCTTTAATGTTCTATGAAGCCAAAGAATTAGACCAATATCCAGCACAACAAAACAAAAAAACTAGCTCAGTACTTTAGGTAAATGCATAATATTAGGAGATTTTATTTAGTTCAGCACATGGCTGTTACTATGACTGGTGCTGCATGCTACTTTTAGAATTAGATGTCTTTTTCTGAAGATTTAAGGCAGACTTCAATTCCATCTGCTCACTCATGGCATTAAAATGCATTAAAGATGGCAAATCAGACAAGTCAGCAAGAGAATGGCCTTTTTTATAGTACCAATTGGAAAATTAGTGTCATGCATTAGCAGATAAGACTAAGAATACTTCACTTCCACTGCTATTATGAAATACTTTGGTAGGTGCTTCATAATAATAATGGAATATTATGAATATTGGAATAAAGCTAAAGGAATTATTAAAATACGGTTCTTCAGGGTACTTTTTCCATGAAAATTTTAACTACTTGGAAACTTGATATTTTCAGGAAACAAATATGGGTAAAAAAGACTAAACTAAAGAATGGTATCTCAATCTTCAATTTTAAAGAATTTATTTTCCCATTTGTAGAGTTAACATTATTGTAAAATCCACAGTTATTGAAACACCTGCATTGCTTAAAAGAACTCCTAAGAATTTTGTTTAAGCATGTTTTTTAAAAAACTGAACCAAAATAATGTACACTTTATCTCCGAACACTGTGTAAAGTCCACATAATGTCCTCTGTACCAATCAATGTGATGTTACCTAATACACATGATCTGATTTTTTATCCTAAAGACTTCTGACCATGTATGATATCCAAGACAGACCCAATGCTTTAATGTCAGACTGCAGAGACAGTCACGATTCTAAACATGAGAGGGAAAAGCTTTATATACAGGACAAAAGTCTGACAGTTTAGCTGTTTGCAGCATCTGCCTGGCGAGGCCATCCTTCTTCTTCAACTCCAGAATCATACTCCTCTTCAGAGGATTCCTTTGTTGGAGCCCTAAAATGAAAAGCCAGTAGGGTTTTTTTAAGCATGTTTTATAGGGTACTCATGATTTCTAGACTCAATAAATTAACCACCTTGCTAAAAATGCCACAGAAGAATACTAAGAGCACTCTTAATGTTAAGATTGCTTAGTGGTAAAATATGGGAAAGATTTAGACCACACAACCAAGAGTTGTAAGTAATTTTCCTAACATTTTCCCTACCAGATGTGTTACTGAAATAAACTGACAACAAGATTTCAATTATTGAGATGTAAAAAATCCATTTCTCTAGCAAAAAGTTAAAATCTATTATTTCAACTCAAATGCTTGACTTTTAGCATATGTCTATGGTAAAGAAGATGACAACTTCTGACCAAATCTGACTTGACTCAGACTAATCAGAATTATGATCGGACCACCACAATTCCTTTAGATAGTAATGTCATTAAAAAACTAAAGATTGCCTCTTGGAATGACAAAAGTAGTTCAGAATCAATCAACTGCCTCCTAAATTATCTTAGAAGATAAGTAAACAGAAGACATATCTTGTGAAAGTTAAAACAGAAGCCTAATTTCTGTATGGGTAAACAATGTCAAGCACCATATAATAAATATTGATTGATTGGATCGGTAAACTATATCTTGCAGGCCCACCATCTGTTTTTGTAATGAAAGATTTACAGGAAGACAGACACACTCATTTATAGATGGTCTATGGCTGCTATCATGCTATGAGGGCAGTGCGAGTAGTTGCAATACAGACTCTCTAAAGATGGCTCTAAAATACTTATCTAGCCCTTTAAAAGAAAGTTTACTGACCCAGGAGTAGATCAACAGTGAAAGATATATCAAATTTGTCAACTGATATGATACATATGAGAGAATAATTATGTCCACAAAGTTTTGGTCTCGTGAAAGACATAAAACAAGTCATTCACAAATTATAGAATTAGCAGTAAAGTTTATTTAAATCTTTTCATTTAGATTACTTGTGTGTCTCTTTTAATCTTCATTGGGGAAAAAGTAGAGGCCAATTTTGAAGCTCAGTTTTCAAAAGACTCACAAATTATTATTTATAAACCAAAATTAGAACATTTTTCTACAGAAAATTTGTGATTATTGCTTCCCTTATGAATGTAAGGATTTTTATGCAATTTTTATGACAAACCACTAGCACTACAGAGCTGATCTTAAATTTTAGATCATTCTAGCTTGAAAATACACTTTACCGGATGTATCCTGGTTCCTTTTTTCCTTCTACTACTTCTTTGTCAACCTCCACACATACAATATCAGAATTAGGGACTTCAAACATTGGTTCTAATAACAGCTTTTCCTAAAGAGATAAAAAACAATGAATGACGTGAAAACTGAGGTTGCTCACAACATACTTGTATTCTACCAGCTACAAATCAAAGTCATTAACTCAACAAATATTACAGAATCCCTATTATGTACACAACTGAATGTTGTAAAAGTCAGCATAAAAGCTTTTTATATTCTTTATATTAAAACAGTTTCTAACTAAATTCAGAAAGAAGTCATTCTATAAGGAAAGGCTATTTGTCTGTACTTCTCTGTCTGCTTTTGGATTTGGATGTTTTTCAAAACCATTCCTGGCATATTCTCTGACCAAGGAGGTCAACTGGTAATCCTTCTTTTAAAACATGATTTAATCCTAAATCATCTCTACCAGGCTCTTTAATTTTGACTATGACTTCAAATAAGCATTTGTCTCAAGTGCTTTGATAGATCTAAAATTGTTTACTAAAGAAAACTGGTTTCAACTACAGGAAGGGGCTGGATTATATTCCACCTTAAGGAAAATACTGGTTGAGTACATCAGATTTCCTAAAAAATGTCAATGCTATCACCTAGTTTGCATGTTTATATAAATCTGTCCTTAATCAGCAGCACCTGAAGTGCAGGCCTTCCTTAGAGAGTATAATCTCAAACTGTCCCACTGAGATGAGAGAAGTAATATTTAGTGGTGAAATCCTTAAGAGAAAATAGGAACATGATCATGCTTCGGGAGCATGTAGAGAAACAGCAACTCAACTCACTGCACAGCCAGATCTTGCAGGTAGGGGAGAGAACTCTAAGGAAGAGAGTGAGTGTGGCTAAAAATAGGCTGGATTTCTAGGACTTGTTACAAAATAAAAAATAGTGAGTTCATACCATACTAAAAAATTTAGGGGTACAGTGTCATGGTATCTGCAAGTTAATTTCAAACAAACAACAAAAATGAGGATTTCAATGGGTCTGAGAAGGCACTCTGGGGCTCAGTCTAAAGGCCTGTGTAGAATTTTTAGTAATTCTCTCTCCCTTGATCGTGGTTTTTCTCTATTTCATCGATTATATTATGTGTGTCCTTTGTTGCAAACACTTTAAAGTTTCTTTTTGGAAAGAAAAACATAATATACCGTGACAAAAAAAAAATCACAAAAACACTTGATCAATTCTTTGGATATATTTCCAAAGGAAAAACATGAAGGCTTAATATTCCCAAAACTCAGATGAAGAAGCAATCTAGTTTTTGCAATAACAACATCAACTTACCATTATGGACCGAAGACCTCGTGCACCTGTTTTTCGCTCCAGTGCAAGTCTGGCTATGGCTTTCAAAGCATCCTCCGTAATGTTCAGCTCACACTAACAATACATTTAAAAGAAATGAGAACTTAAATAATACTTAATGATATTTTCCTAATATAACCATATAGCATTTGATCTATTAACTATTACTACCTACCACCATTACTGGTCTTTTTAGAACAAAAAGGAACCAATGCCCTGACTTCACAGTTAAAAGGGTGCCAGAAGGGTAGGTACACTGATTCACTAATAGCTGGAAATATGGGGCCAGAATCTTGACTGACCTTATATATCCCCTTTCAGAATAAAGTACTTGTAGACTATCAATTTCTTACTAGAAAACACACATTTTAAAGAGTGTTACTAACTTCCTCATCCTATTGAACAAAGGTAGAACATTAGACAAATCTCTCTAAATTACCACACATTTCAAAACAGAATTCAAATTATTGAGAATTTAATATACCAGAAAGAAAATTAAAGTACTTTGGAATACCATATTTCACAAAATATTAGTACTAAACAACTTCTGGTTATTAATTTCTACCTTTAGAAAATGTAAATTTTAAGTGAGGTATTTCTCTCTCATGGTTTTCTAGAATCTTGCCTTCAAAAAGCACCACTTGCTTCTATCAATTAACCTATAAGAAGGTATCAGTTTATGAATAACAAGTTTGTCCTTAATCCTTGAAGAACCTTTTTTCTAGATTAACATGGACTTTCTAGGATTTCACTCAACAATCACTGAACCCTTATGTACTCATATGTTAGAGATTGAATGATGAATCAGACATGCTCTTTGCTTTCAGGGAACTTGGTCTACTGGAAGGTGACAAGTAAGTGAACTACTATTTTGGGCACAGAATACTCATTGTGCTAAGGGAGCACCGGAGCAGAGGCATCTAAATAAGAACAGGGGACCACTGAAGGATTTTAAGGAGGAGAGTAAAATAATTAGTTTTGTGTTTATTCATTCAATAAACATTTATTAAGAATTTAATATCTGTTTGTTGGACACTGTGCTCAATAATTTAAAATGATCCACTCTGGAAGTAAAGTGGAAGATAATGATGGTGGTGATGGTCAGAGACACATCTGAGACAGGGAGACTGACCAATTAGGAACCAAATGCATGGTTCAAGGTGAGGAATGATAAAAGAGCTTGAGCTGAGAGAGAAGGAGACTAATATTTAGAGATATCAAGTTCATAAACCCCAAAACATTTGCTATCTGATGACTGTGGGCGCCTGAGTGACCTCCCGGGACCTGGCTGCAGAGAAGTTGATGTTGGAGTTAATAAAACTTTATAGAAAAAAAGTATGTAAGAGTATACGCAGTATATCATAATAAAAGTATTTACAGTATCAAGGCTGAAAGGACAATCCTGTGTGTCTGACTTGAAGGGTGGAGAGTAGACTACTGGAATAATACATATATATCTTTGGACTTTATGCTATAATGAAGATTTTAATTAAGAAAATGTAAAGCTAGCTCCTAAATGTCTAATATAACAAAATGTACATTCCCTGATTCCTAGATCCATATTGAGTGAGGAATAGTCTGGTATTCCAGATTAGCAGGACTCTTTTTTTTTTTAATTCTTATGCTAATTTAATGCAGTTTCAATAGTGAGAAAAAAAAAAGACTCCATAAATTGACAAAGTATGAAAAATAAAAATCTAACCTTATCCATGCTGAATAACGCCTGGTACTGGGGAATAACAGCATTACGTGGCTCAGTTAGTATCTGTACAAGTGTTTTCTCATCTAGGCTATGCAAAGGGACTACCACAGGCAACCGCCCCACAAACTCAGGAATCATGCCGAATTCAATGAGATCTCTGGCTTCTACGTGACGTAATAATCGATCTTTTTCTTCAATGTCTTGGTGAGTATTTGATTCGCCACTTAGATTGGCGAGGTCTGCAGCAGCTGCAGCCCTTCTGCCTTTTCCCAGATTAGATGGCGTTCCAAATCCAAGATACTGCCAAAGAACAGATGGATGTTATAAATAACAGATGAAGTTGCATTGTACTAAGTTCTCTGCATGCACATCTCATGTGATTTTTGTAACATAAGAAAGTCCTATTACCATTCACATTTTACAATGAAGCAAACGGGCCTAGAGAGGTTAAGTACCTAATACCTTGGACAAAGCCTCATTAGTGTACCTGGTAAAGGCAGGATTTGAACTCAGGTCTATCTGCCTTCAGAATTCAGAACCTAGCCCCTATATAACAACCAACTTTCAAAGAATGATTTCTAGTAAAAGTAGGTAAGTAAAAACTATAAAAAGAAGTCCCTTAGAACTCAGATAATGATGCTGCAGGGTTTTTCTGAGACCTTGGAATTAGTGTGGTTTCCAAACTGAGTAAGAACTGTGAAAATGGAGACAGTAATTACTGTGTAACCAAAGTTAATTTTGTAATACTGTAAACAGTATTGGCCTATGGAATAAGAAGCCTTACAAAGAAATTATCCACAAGTATCTTAAGTCACTGCTAACCTATGATCTAGGGTTACACAGATCAACCTATGAATCAGAATAAATTAAGATTAGATTTTATAAAGAACATATAAGGATAACATCAAACAAGAATGCTAACTGCTGCAAAAGGTTGGATATCTAAGGTGTATGGATCTTGCTTCAATCAATATAAAAGAACTATACTGTAGGCAATTATCAGAAAGTTTAATTTTGATATGTGGTATAGCTTTTCTCAAAAGTATAAGCACATGCTGTGTGAGAAAACAGCTTAAGTTAAAAATCAAGCCCTGTGATTCTCTAAGCTGTGTACATGGACCATTAGTGTACTGGAAAGCAAAATACCTTTTAATAATTTAAGCACTTATTAAGCATATGTTACATATATGCATATATAGTAATAAACATATTTATTATGTAAATACAAACATCAAGCAGTATAATAAAACACTGGGGATACAAACCTGAACACAGCCCCTATCCTACAAGGATTTGTTTAGAGTGAGAACACATGAAGGTGTCATTACAGTGTCATAGGTGCAATAAAGGACAACTGTCCAGGAAACAGTCGCAATGGAAAAGAGGAAAAGAGGCATGTACAGGGGAGTGAGGGTAGATGGCAAGCAAGAAAGCCTTCACAGAGGAATTTCCTAATCGTTTAACAGACTGAGTCTTAAAGGATGACACGTATTTGCCAACTAGACTGAGGTAGTGAAGGGCATGATCTAGCAGAGGTGCCCAACCTGCGGCCTGCAGGCTGCTTTTGGCCCAGGATGGCTGTGAGTGCAGCGCAACACAATATTGTAAATTTACTTAAAACATTATGAGATTTTTTTGTGATTACGTGTTACAATGTATTTAATGTGTGGCCCAAGACAACTCTTCTTCTATATTATATATACTTACTATTGTACCCAGGGCTTTCAACGAAGGTTGATAAAATAGTAGCCACACGCATGTGTTTAATTCTCTATAAAATCACTGTTGAAGATTCTTATGCCTGCCTCCTTTTCATAAAGATGTGACAAACTATTTTTTTAATCTTTGTCTCTCCTGAAGACCATGTATGACCTAAACCTTCCTTCTACATGTTTCCTACCTCTTTTCTCACATTATTCTTTTAAGATTTATTTATGTTTGTTTGTTTGTTTGTTTATTTATTTATTGAAAAAGAGAGACAGAGAGAGAGAGGAGGGAGAAAAAGAGGGAAAGAAACATCAGTGTGTGGTTGCCTGTCATGTGCATGCCCCCAGCTGGGGACCTGGCCCAAACCCAGGCACATGCCCTGACTGGGAATCGAACCAGCGATCCTTTGTTCGCAGGTCAGCACTCAGTCCACTGAGCCACACCAGCCAGGGCTCTCACATTGTATTTTACTGTTCTTTTCTACATGTTTCCAGCTTCAAATTCTTGTTGGAATTATTAATTATAAATAAATATCAGAATATCCCTGCCTATGGTCACAGAATTTCAAATATAAAGTCTTTCTCTCTTCCTTTGACACACACACACACACACACACAGAAATATTTCCTTTCTAATTTGTTAGGTTAATTTATTCAGAATTTCAAAAGCAACCCCCCCAACAAATTAATAATATGAAAAATAAAAATATAACCCTACCCATGCTGAATAAGGTCTGGTAATGAGGAGTAACAGCATCACAGGGCTCTGTCAGTATATGTACAAGAGTTTTCTCCTTCAGCCTGTGCAGAGGGGTTACTACAGGCAACCATCCCATTAGCAGCATTGTATTTGTACTACTACTAAACTGCTACTGAAACTAGTACATGCAAAGCCAAGGAGAGAAACTTAAAGCAAGTGATAACAGCAAAGAGTTGATCTATGATATATTCATTTAGGGAGCATATGTTATGTAAAAGGGATCATTTGTGGCTAGACATTATGCAAAACACAAAAACATGAAAAATACAGGTCTTTTGGGCTTCTATGTTAATACTATATTTTATTACGATCGATCAACAAATAGGTTCTGGGCATATACCTTGATGATATGAAGAAATATGTTTCAGTTAAAATCAAGGTTTATAAGAATGCTTAAGAAACATTTGTAAAACTATGTGGGGTCCACAACCCTTTTTCCAGTCCCCGAACTGCTTCCTTCCATTTGGGAACGTCAGCAGTGATCTACGGGCAGGGGCAAGGGAGACAAGCTCTTCACTGGGCTTCAGCGAACTGAGCAAGAGGAATGAACAGAAATTTTACTGTTACAGCACCTACCTCAAATAATAAAATAACTCCTTAAATGAAACATAAAATTGAAATCATCAAGTTATACTTTAAAGATGCCCATATATAGGTGATATTTAGAAATCTTCTAATTTACTACTCTGAAATTAAAAAGAAAAAAACTAGAAGTATGTTTTTGGTATGCTCTAAGAAAACCTAACTCTTAAAAACTCACAACTAGCAGCCAGCAGATATGAGAAAAGAAACTGAATGTCTATCCTCTGTAACTTCAAATGCTCTGTCCCAGTAACCCCTCAGCAAAACTTACCTTTTCATTCTTCCTCCTGCTGATGATTCTGTCCAAACCATTGAAAGCACCAGATGCAACAAACAGGATGTTTGTTGTATCAACTTGTACTGTTTCTCCACGGAGCTTGCGGGAATTCTTTTCTGGAACATTGACTATTGTGCCTTCTAGTAGTTTTAGTAAGCCCTAAATAAAGAATGAATGATTTATAGCATCATCTTATAAATCCCATTATATTTTAGATAATGGGATTTAATGGGGAAAATAATACGTGTTATGGTCAATGAGCATAACTAAAAAAAACTCCCATATTTCTACAGCTAACATATACTATCACATTAATAATTCATAAATTTAGGTGGAATAGTTATAGGACTCCTGACATATTCAGAAAGTAGTCAACTGAGAGGTTGTTTCGATGGTAAAGACATAATTCCAACATAAAAATAGAATTACAACTGTATGAGATGGTACCCAATCATTATAGGAACATTCAGAGTTGGGAAAAAAATTAAAGATTTGTCTTTTATATAAATAAAAATTTTATTCTACTCCCAGTATTAAACTTTGAGAACATCTATATTTTGAGATGCCTTTAATAAAAACAATTTATCCAGCACATTTTCTTATTGTGATTGTACTTCTCTATGTCTTTGTCAACAAAAGAAAGCAATTTTCCTTACCCTGTGGTTTAGGTCATAATTAGTTACCAGTAAAAGGTCAGTTGAACAATGTATCATTTGGACTTTAATTATGACTCTACAAGGAATGAAACACTATTTTATCCCATTTTCTAACTAAGTGAAAAGAATAAGATACATGTATATAGTTCATTGTGTCTAGTTAGAACCAGAACTTTCTTTAAGAGTCCTCTAGAAATGTTTAACTAGGCCCTTGAGGAATAAAAACAACAAAAATTAAATTTCATTTTTTTCGGTTCTTTAAAATAATTTTAATATCCTAAAAAAGGTAATTTGGTATTTAAAATCACCAATTAGCTTTCTCTTAGGATCTGAACTACTTTAAAATGGTATGTGGAGTTTGGGGGTGAGAAAAATAAACAAATAGAATCTAATTAAATATGAAACCAAACGTACAATATTGGGAGGCTGATGTATTCCCTTCCTTTTAGTGGGCTTGAACAAAATATTCAACTGCTTACTTGCTGAACGCCTTCTCCACCTACATCCCGTAACTGATGAATGCCTGGCACACTGCCAATCTTATCTACTTCATCCAGAAAGACAATTCCTATAATTTAAGGAGGAGTTTATTTATAATATGAAAAAGATATACATAAGAGAGATAACCTCAGCTTTACAAGACTAGGTAGCCAGAGAGCCAAGTTATTTGATCTTTCACACTTAACATATTCAATGGCTTAATGTGATTTAAAAAAACAAAACAAAACACTGCACTCTATCCTATTCATCCTTTTGTGCATATGTTTTATAATTTATTTTATACAATTATCACTTGGGTATGATAATCAATTCTGTCTGACAATAGTTATTCACTCCACTAATGTTTCTGGTTCTTGATTCTAGGAGTCTCTTAGAGGTGTAGTGTAGAAGCAGGAAGTACATGCAGTGCTGATACTAGCAGAACTTTGAGTCTTTCCCAACTACTGGTATATTGTCTTAAAATATGTCTTGAAGGATCTGACAGGAAGTGCAAGCTCTTCATGTAAACAAGGACAGTTAATAGATGGGGAAAGGAGAAATGCAGTATCTATGACATCCTATAGGTGAATAGACTAATCTGTTTGTAGATTCATCCTGTACACTCATGCCCTTGGTCTTGTCCTTGCACCCTTCTCCTCCCCATCCCAGTATTAGGAGTCTAGAGGACAGTCAGAACAGCAAACACAATGACAGTATTCAGGACCTAATGGAATAGTAAATCAGTTTTCACCCAAGTAATCATCTAGTGACAGTAAGGCAAAGCAAACCTAGTGGCCCTTAGTATACTAGAAAATGTTTAGCATGGCTACTTTTATATAATTACAGAGTTACTCCTTGATTCAAAATAATATTAGCTCTTAATATTAGATTGTTTCCTCAAGAGCCTACTGAGGGACAGACAAGCAGCTATGCTGAAAACATACCTTGTTGTGCTTTTTCTACATTATAATTGGCATCTTGGAGCAGTTTGGCAATCACAGATTCAATATCTTCACCTACATATCCAGCCTGAGTCAAAGTTGTACAGTCACAGATAGCAAAAGGGACATCAAGGCATTTAGCTAGAGTTTGTGCCAGCAGAGTTTTACCTACAAATAGAAACAGCAACTGAAATACGATGACATACAAATTCTATACAAAAATGCAAAATTAATTTGAATGGTATATAATTAAAAAATCACTGTTATATCTTTTCTCCACTTTTATTCAGATCTAATGGTATATTACTTTTATTATCCCTGTTATTAGAAATTAGCCTAAAGGGCAATATCAATGCCTCAAATCCAGCTCGGAGCCTATGCAGAAATCCTGATAATGTATGCATAAGATTGGCCTTGGATTTTCTTCTCCAGATCCAGGATCTCCCAATCACAAAACACAGGTTACAGAATTATTTATATTCTATTTTTAAATGAGTAGTAAATTTTCTCAGGAAGTTATTTACCTGACCCAGTTGGTCCAAGCAGCAAAATATTACTCTTCTCGAGTTTTATGTCGTCATGGGAGGAATCCAAGACTTCACCTCCTCGTTTTTCCTGCGGCATTTGCTGGTTTACCTGCTGCTGCACTGATGCTCCTAAAGCGTTACCATGTGGACTGATTCCAGCAATCTGAAGCAATTCTGAAAAAGTGCCACAGGAACTACTAGAGCTTCACTATATTTTACTTGAAAATATGCCCGTTAAAACCTTATATCTAAAACCAATCAACTATTTAGAAAAACTGAAATATTTTGACAATCTGTCTTACCTAAAAAGAAAGAAAACTTCCAATTATCTAGTTGACAAATTTGCAAGACAACAATTTTTCAGGAAAACTCAAGTAAAAGAAACAGATTCTATTTATCCTCCCCTCCCTATTTATGTAAACCTGTATGAAGGATGCCCTTTCATTCAAGGAAAGGCAGTATAATAAAGAATAATGGTAGGACTCAGAAAGCTTTGGTTTTGATCCTTGTTTTGTCGCTAAACAGTTATATAATTTGGGGCAAGTCATGTAAACCTTAGTGCTGTTTCCTAATCTATAAAATGGTAATAATTCCTGTCCTATCCAATTCAAACACATGGCTGGGAGGTATAAGAACAAAATGCAATTGATTTGGAGGTACTCTGAAAGACTAACAAAGGTATATATATATATTTTTTCAGTACAAATGAAAAGATGCATGGCTATAGAGAAAGACAAAAACATTGAACTGAGAAACAGAACTTGGGTTCTAGCCTCAGTTCTGCTGCTGTGTCAAGTCACTTAACTTTACTTCCTATAGTAAGGCCTGCTTCCTTACTACAAAGTGAAGATACTGAGACTTACGACCTCCACAGTCTCTTCCACATCTAAGAGTGACTCTGTGAGTCTACCAGAGAAAACAAGTATGGTAAGACTCACTATCCCTTGGCACTATCTGAATCTGATTGTATAGGATCTTCACTGGGTCTTTCTAGTCCCTTTAGTAAAGATACAATGCTTAACTAGATGAGACTGATATTGCTGGTGACCTATCAGTTTATCAGCAGATGCCTAGAACAAAAACAAAATAAAATTTTATTCTCACTCTCCCTTGGCTGAAGGAAAGAATCCCACTAGTATTTTCAATTGTCCAGACTAGTAACTACAGTGAGTCACACGATGCATGTATTTAACTTACTCAATGATTTAAGTTAAAATAGGAATCATTTAAATAGTACAAAACAGATGAGGTTAATCATTATATTTCATGAAAATATGCTGCAGAAATCGTGAGATAACTCTCTCGTTCTCTTAGTTAGTCTCTGTCTCTGCCCATCTCACTGCATGAGCAACTCTTTACAATAAGCAGGGCTATGAACAGGCAGGCTAGCACAGTGGTTAGCTGCATGAAACTCATCAGCTGTATAGCCCTGGAAAAATTACTTAAAATTTCTGTGCTTCAGTTTTGTCATATGTAAAGTGAGGATGAAAATAAAGTTTCTGTCTTACAGGTGTTGGGAAAATTAAGTGAGTTAATATATATAAAACACAACAGTGCCTGGCAGATACTTTTGTAAGTGTCATAGAAGAATTTGCTATTAGCATTGCTATTTCATTAGAGTTTAAGTATTTCTATAATATAGCTCTTAAAAGCACACCAACTATTTAGTTGGCTAAAAAGTTCATTTGGTTTTTTCCACACGATGACTTTAGTAGCGCTTAGTTGTCTCTAACTTCATTTGAAACAATTTCGTTAGACTGTATTATGACAGCTGTCTTACCAGTGTGCATTAAAAAAAAAACTTATCAGAACTAGTGAATTTTTGTGTAGCCATTTTAATATTGAAGATGAAAGAAAATACATATGTTCAGCATATTATGCTTTATTATTTCAAGAAAGGTAAAAATGCAACTGAAATGCAGGAAAAGATCTGTGCAGTGTGTGGAGGAGGTGCTGTGACTGATTGAATTTGTCAAAAGTGGTTTGTTAAGTTTCGTGCTGGAGATTTTTCTCTGGATGATGCTCCACAGTCAGGTAGACCAGTTGAAGTTGATAGTGATCAAACTGAGACGTTAATTGAGAACAATCAACATTCCACCACATGAGAGATAGCCAACATACTCAAAATTTGCAAATCAATAAAGTCATTAGTGAAAATAAAAAATGTGTCTTTTATTTTATGGAAAAAACCATATGGACTTCTTGGCCAACCCAATATTTCATCTGGTGCTCCACTTAAGAAAACATATGTTCCAATGATGGAAGAAAAAAAATCAGTCTTTTTTTTTTTTTTTTTTAGTGGGTTTTCTTTTTGTACAAGGAAATGAACAAGCTCCTGGATAAGACCTGGGTAATGTCCCAGTCCCAATTGCCTGTCACTTTGTTCCAAACACAGATCATAGATTTTTACGGCACAGGGTACTTCTACTGTCAGCCATCAGTCTTATTATACAGTATGCTGGTCTCTGACATGTGATTTTCAAGGAACTTTCAAGAATATTTTGATTATATATGTCTTTGGCCTAATGCCTTAACTTACAACCAAACTAAACTATACATAAAAATAAATTCTATTTAAGCTTTCAAAATATTAATTTCTAAGTCAATCAATAATATAATTATAAATTGCTTTTACCTAAGTTCGTAAATACTATCACTTGTTAACCTTTAAATTATATTAAATCAGTACACGTATCATATATTTTTTCAAAATATTCACTGTATATTTTACTACTAGTTTCACAAGTGATCTGCCTAAATTTATGAATATAATATTGACAGCATATTTGATATTTTTAGATTAGAAAATATTTATTATACATGCAGTTACAGTGTAGTATTTACATCTTAGATTCTTATATGTAATCTAATTCTACTGCACTTACTTGTTTCTTAATTTTATCATGCATGGTATAATTATTATTTTCATACAATTTAAACATGACTAGAGATAATATAATTTTATTATATATAATAAATTTCATGCCAGAGTTGGTAAACTAGTTATGTTCTCATGGCACATTCTATAGAGAGAGAGAGAGAATACTTCCAATAGTAGATATATAATACAGCTTGGTTCAAAGGCAAAATAAAAGTATCAAACTGGTTTATTGTTTACTTGTACTTGTTATTTTAACTACTGAAACAAAAGGCCACATAACTTTTTATGATGCTCCGGAGCCTTTACCCTCTGTGCAGCAATTATATCCACCATGGGATATACAAAAGAATGTGCACAAAACATGGGAATGACCACTATCCTGGATGCATCAGGTCCTTCCACACTCTCCGTCAGACCTGATGCTCAGAGGGACAATCCTGGGCTGGAAACACTGAATTGGGGCTTATTCATAATTTGCAAGATTACGCTAAGCTTCACATACACCAAAAAATAAACTGTGGTTTCTGGCAAAGAGTTGCTGGAAGGTAATGTGTCTCCCTTAAAATTTCTGACACTTATAATTATGCAGATCAACTCTAACTGTAAGGCAAAAAGAAAAAAGATATAAAGTGGCAAGCTATAAACTTCTACAAATACAACTCCTGCTAATATGTAGGTCTATATTTAAAGAGAAAAACTATATATAATACTTTTCATCTCTCTACATTATGCTTTACAAAATACCACAATGGAAAAAATAAAATCAAATATCTGAAATAACCTAACATACACATACTACACAAATTATGAAAAACTGTTCCAAAATTATATATACCATGTGTGGTAAACACATTTAGATAATATACAACATCTTTCTTGGTAATACACAAGCAAATATATGTCCCCATTACTACTGCTGACATACTTGGCTGAGGTGTATCTCAAAAGGAAGAACGGTCACAGAGGAGGACCTGAGGAGCAGTCACTTACTTGTAAATCTGTACTCATCCTCCCGTCTTCTTATTTCTAACTCTGAGAAAGAGGATGAAAATATTACATATTTGTTTAGGGGAACAAACAAGGAGTATCCCAATTCTTGTTTCTTCTCAACATACTTAAAGAATGTGTTCATTAACTTTTTTAGCTTTTCAAAACATTATGAAAGAATCATATGTTACATCCTTTCCATATTAAAAATACCCAAATATAATTAATTAATGATGGCTATTCAGTTGCTAATATTCACACTTGTCAAATACCAAGGAGGTATCTATTTTAAGAATAGTAACAATTTAAGTCTTCAATAAGAGTTTAAACCCCTCATACTATAAATACCACATCACCATTTGTTTTTCTAGAACTAGAACAGCTTAATTATTGATTTGTTGACTGAAGAAACCAGGAAAAAACCATTTTGCTCTATGACGAGGCACTGCTATTTGGACCTTATCGAAATGAAGGTTCCAAGTCTTCCATTAGTTATTATGACTTATACTTTCTAAAAATAGAGTAACTGATACTACTACATAAGTACTTTGCAGTAAGTTTAACAAGTGAACAAGTGCCTTCATTGAGCCAGTTATATATTTAGTAGCTGTTAAAAGTAATCAAAAGTCCCCTGGCTGGCGTAGCTCAGTGGATTGAGCGCGGGCTGCAAACCAAAGTGTCGCAGGTTTGATTACCAGTCAGGGTACATGTATGGGTTGCAGGCCATAACCCCCAGCAACTGCACAATGATGTCTCTCTCTCTCTCTCTCTCTCTCTCTCTATCTCTATCTCCCTCCCTTCCCTCTCTAAAAATAAATAAAATATTTTTTTAAAAAAAGTAATCAAAAGTCATCTTATAAATCTAAGTATTTGGCAGGACCCCCTCAAGTTGTAAAACAATAGCTGTGGACCTGAGTAAGAAATTGGGGCTCCATGGCCAACAGCAACAACAAAACTTAAAAATTTACATTTTACTCAATTCAGTGTTTTTAAAAACTCATTCTATTAATATAACACACATTATTGTCCACAGTAAGTTGAGATTACATAGTATATTGGTATGTTAAAATCTAACTTCAATAGGAATTATATTGATACTCTGATAATCACTTACAAATTTGCCCCTAACCTTGAGCACTGTAGCTGGGGCCCAAAAGGTAAGGAAAGAGGGAAAGAGTGCTACCCGTGTTCTGCAAGAGTCATCTCTCCATACACATGACTTAGATGAAATTCGGTACCCTGAAGGCAGAAGAGCACTCAGGGTCACACAGAGCACTGCCCCGAGAGGGTGCTGGGGAACTGGCTGTGGTGAGGTCTATAATTTAAAGATGATGTCTCAATCTGTACCCCAGTGACTCTCAAACATTTTTCACTGAGACCCTTGGTAAGAAATACCTTTACCTCTGTGACCCGGAACCCATGCACATATAACTAAAAGCAAAAGTTTTAAGAAACGATACTTAACTACATATAGTTAATGTACTCTGGTGTTTTCTATTCATATCTATTAACTTTAAAAAAAATGCTGTGGGAACCTACCAAAATCATTTCATAATTCATTAAAGAGAAGTGACCTGCACTTTGAGAAATGCTGTACTATGCTAAAAGCACTTTAAGACAAAAGGAAGGAGTTACAATAAAGATTACTTCTAGACATAGTAATCTCTATTTTGGACAATTATCAAAACACTAACCTCTGGGTGTTAATGATGTCTGCTTCTCAACCTCTGCTTGCTGCCTCAGGTTAGCTGGGATATTATTATATATTCTCTTATAATGATTGTACACAGCAACTGAAAGCACCTTCTTAGCAGGTGACTGGCCAACAACATACTTGTCGAGGTAGTTATAAATCTGAAAAATAATTAGGTATGAATAATTTCATATCAGCTACCATAAAAACATACACATTAAAAAGTTATATACTAAACATATTTGCTTCCAGTTTTAAATTTGAACAAAGACTCATCAAAAACAAAATGCCAAGGGCATGATACATTATACAGAAATGATTCAAGGCCCCAAACCCTAAATGTACAAAAACACAATTATTTGTTCTTTAGCCTAACAAAATATCACTGTCCTCTTCTAGTGCTACCAGTGCTAGTTCCAATTCTATAAACAATGCCATTGATGCTAACTTTGAAAAGTTAACATTAAAGACACTTAGAATGCCTACACATGCTACCAGAAGTCTAAAGATATCATCATTAATGTATTTCACTAAAATTAATCCTTTCCACACCTCTGTCAATCATATGAATAATATTCTTCATAAAGACAATGTATTATAAAATTACCCTTTTCATAAATAGGCATTGTATAATCAAAAGCCATTATACTATGAGTAACTATATATTTTAATTCTCGCAGACATTTAGCTTTTTTCTCAGATATTAACTTTAAAGGTAGTTATTTACCTACATGGCAATATAAAAGCTTTATTCTTAAAAGAAACTAAAGATCTATTCAATACTTGGATGTTGCCAGAAGCTTGGAACCTGGGGTAAATTCCTTCAGCTTTCAGTAAATAGAAATTAACTGTTGATATTCACTAACTCTGGAAAATAGTTAAATTGCCTAATTACTTTCTCGAATTTTGACTTGGATGTCTAAAGTCTACACAAATTGCTGAAGAATATGAAGTTTAGTAGCTGTATTTTCTATTACATTATTTATTTTTACACTACAAATTCTGTAGTTCTTGACCATATGCATTTTATTATGGTTTAAAAAAATCTTCACAAATTACACTCATGAATTATTAAATGTATCTAAACAGAGCAGAAGGAAGCTACACTGAGGCAGAGGGTGAGAAATAACCGAAGAGCGCAAACATCTGAACGTGGCCAGCACACAGGGCACAACACCCAGGAGCAGGGCTCCCTGTTCTCGGAAAGTGCACACTGAGTACCCACCCACTGGGGCTGGTTGTAAACTGTTGTGTTTCATACAGCCAAATCACATCCGTCTGAGACTCCTGGAAAGAGCCCATACCACAAAGGTCACAGCACTATAGAGGACAGTGCCGGTAGACTGGCCATGAAAAACTTACTCACTTCCATTGTTAATCTGTGGCTGTTTTACCATAAAGTAGACTAAATTAATGGGGAGGGGCAGGGATTGCAGGCTGATGTTATTTAGGGGCTCAAACTAACAAAAATAAATCCACAGTTGTTCTATTTTAAGGTTATCATTTTAGATTAACTTAGTAGTAATACTATTTTAATAATCATCCAACTACCTTTCATTGCTACTGAATATAGTAATCATTACATGAGGAAAAAAAGCAATGGGCTCTATGCCTAAATTCCAAGTATCAAATATCAAAAACAATTTAGCCAGATATAGTCCATATTAATTACTTACAATATGTGTTTAGATACTAATATGAGGGTCCAATATAAACTGCAGAGAGGGAAAGCAATGAAATATTTTCTAAATAAAATGCCTGTAAGACTGGGCTAAGACTTCATACCTTCTTGGGGGCAGGAGGTGGTTTCTGCTGGAATGCCAATTTTACAGCTTCTGCTGCTGATTCAGGTTCTTTAATTATGCTCTTCTTTGAGTCAGCTTCAGATAGTACAACAAAAAAATGATGACATTTTTCACACTTCACAAAACGGGTAGATGCTGTAAAAGAAAAGAAAGGTCAGCAGAGAAAAAATAAATAATTCAAATAGTATTTACCTCAGAGACTTACTACAAGTGAAAACTGTACTTTATAAAAAGTAGGCTTGTAGTTTACTCCACTAGCCACAACAAACAGCCTACTTTACATCTAAGAGAGATGATAAAGATAGATGAGTTCAACAAACTATATTTTCTTCATTTCTACTAGGTTCTTTCATTTTATGATGTAACTCATTAAGAGAAAAGATTGACTGAAAGTCTTTCAACTTTCCAAACACCGAACTTAATTTTTAAAACTACCATAAGAATATTAAATAATTGTTATTGAAATATGTGAAAAAGTAAAATACAAGTACATTAATCTATTTTCCCAACATTTTATTATGAACAATTTCAAGCATACACAGAAGTTGAAAGAGAGAAATCTATTTTAATCCCTAAAAATATAAAATAGTATATTCTTTAGGTTCTTTTCAAACCTATGAGCATTTTATAAAACCTTAACTTAGTAAAAAGATAAAATTATTTGATACCTTCCTTATTTTCATCTTTAATACTTCCACTAATTTCTATTTCTTTGACCTAAAAACCACCAAGAAACTAACAAAGTAACAACATAGTCATATTTACTTAAAGATAATCATACAGCTTTTGAAAACAACACAAGGGCAGTTAAAAGTGAGGGTAAAAATGGTTTCTCACCCGGCCGGTGTGGCTCAGTGGATTGAGCACTGGCCTGCAAACCAAAGGGTTGCCAGTTTGACTTCCAGTCAGGGCACATGCCTGGGTTGCAGGCCAGGTCCCCAGTGTGGGACACACTAGAGGCAACCATACACTGATGTTTCTCTGCTTCTCTTTCTCCCTCCCTTCCCCCCCTCTAAAAATAAATAAATAAATAAAATATTTAAATAAAATAAAATAAAAATAATTTACTAAAAAAGAAAAGCATTTCAATGAATATTTTTACTCCTAAAAATTAAGAGCAAAAATCTAATTTTGGTAAGTTAGAGGGGACAAATAACCCTCTTTTTTTTAAACCTCTTTTCTTTAAATGATTACTACAAGTATCCTATATTCCTTCATATACAGAATACTGATCCCAATAAGCAAGCTTGTATAGTATGCCAATAACAGAGAGACTACCTTAGTAAAAGCTTTACTAGGAGATTTGTTTAAATGAATGTTTGTCATGATTTTAAACAAGTTTCAAGATCTAACATAAAATCTCCAAACCACTGCAGAAAAGTTTAATTCCTGCCCTATGAGACATGTAAGTGCAGCAAGGCTTCAAATTTATCATATGTAGATAAAAATAAAAACAACTAAAGGCTCTAACTTAGAGCAGGGAGACTATTCATGTTTAACAAGTTATTTTTTTTAATTGGCTAAATAATAGTATATCTTAGTCATTATAATCAAAACTTTCTTAGATATTATTATTTCAATTTCTAATGATTTTCTATACATTCATAATGGTATCTACAAAATGATATTTCAACAAAGTTAAGCAAGTGTAATACCACTATAAGAAAACATAAAAATTACTACAAATATACTTGTTAGATTGACTACACAACAAGATTCATAGGCTAAAAATAGTTTTTACATCCTGGAAAAAATGACAATGAAAATTACATAAAATTCAAATTTCAATGTCCAAGTTGCACTGAAACACAGCCATCCTTACTCATTCACACTGTCTGTGGTTGCTTTCGCACTACGGCGACAAATGAGAATAGCTACAACAGAGACCATATGGCCCACAAACCCTAAAATATCTACTGTTTGGCCTTTTATAGCAAAAGTTTGCTGATTCCTGCTATACAGTATTTAAAGAACATTAAAAAAAACAATTAAGGACTAGACCTATATGTATTAACATACATAGCTCTCAAAACATGCTGAGTTAGAAGGAAAAAAGCAATTTGCAACAACATGAACAATATAAATGATACCATTTATGCTTTTAAAAAGTTTTGTTGATGAAGATATACTACAGAAATATATCTTTAGCTTTATTTGTAATGCTCTACTTTTTCATAAAGGGGGGATATATACATGTATTCCTCAGGTAATTAAAAATAGTTAAAAATGACAAAAAAGTACACAATTACCTAAACAGGCCACTCACAAAAGAACTATAAATGACCAAAAGCACATACAAAGATGTTTATGAACGAATAACTAAATAAATACTGATTCAACAAAAATGAATAACCTGCAATCAAACAAAACACTTTAGAACTCGGATGACCTAATTTTCAAGTAGACACAGAAAACCCGCTGCATTCAAAAGGGACACATTCTTAGGAGACTTTCACTAGGTGGCAACACAACCAGAGGAGGAGGGCCTAGTCTCACTGCGGGGCCTGTTACTGCTCCTCAGCAGTAAAGATCCAGGGGGCAGGGACATTTCTGAGCCTAGCAGTGTCTGACTCAGCAGATGTGTGCCTGCCAAGTTAGGTGTAGGTATGTACTCTTCTTTTACTCTTTTCTTCCACAGCCCCCTCCTCCATTCGAACTCCCAAAGGAAACAGACCACCTCACAACTGAGTTGATTAGTGTATAGTGTTTTCCACACTTGGTCTCACTGTTGTATTTGCATATTCTGGAATCCTACCCAACATCTACAGAATCTCAATCTCTAGGAAAGGAGGGAATCTATGGTTAACAATCACCCTCAGCATTCACTTAATCACTCTTAAACAACATTGCAGTGACCCGGGCAGGTTTTGAAAACACTGCATAAAAGAAAAATAAACTTAATTTCAAGAGAACCTAGTCTATCCCTAAGGAATTCCAGTTGGTAGAAATGTGTGTGCTAGGGACTTCTGAATAGCGAGTCTTCACTGCTTTGTGTCACCTTGGACAAGTTACTTAAACTTGCTCAATTTCAGCTTCTTCACTGATAAAAATGAGAATATTCTCCATCCTGATAAAAATGAAATTGTCAGAATAAAATTACATATACAGGCACCAAATGTTAGTTCCTTTCCTTTTCTATTCTAAGAAATTATTTCATAGGTCTAGAAAGGTTGAAATCTTTCTCTGAAAAAAATAAGGGAAAATTTTCTTGATTAAAATACATATACTATAACACTGCCATTATGAATTGAGCAATTCTGATTTTTTGAGAACTTTATTATACCGAATTTTGTTAACAGCAAATGTTATTTAGAAGTTATCATCTAGTTCTATCACTTTCATTTTATGTTGCAATCCAAATTAATATTCATTCAGACTTATTTTTCTCTTTGATGTATTACTAGGCAAAAATCACAAGTGAAACTTCTAACATTCCAGCTATAGAATAGAATGGAACTATTGGGTGGGCCAAAAACTTTTAGTTTTTTCCCTACAATGCCTCTCATGGCACTTAGTTGTGTTTAACTTGATTCAAAAGAATTCTGTTAGACTGCATTGTGACAGTTGTCATATCAGCATGCATTTAAAAAAATTTTTTTATTGTTATTCAAGTACAGTTGTCTCCATTTTCCACCCACCACTCCCCTCCACCCCACTCACCCCCACCTCCCACCCTCCTTCCTACCCCCCCATGGTTTTGTCCATGTGTCCTTTATACATGTTCCTTGATGACCCTTCCCCTTTTTGGCCCCGTTATCCCCTCCCTCCTACCCTCTGGTTACTGTCAGTTTGTTCTTTATTTCAATGTCTTTGGTTATATATTTTGCCTACTTGTTTGTTTTGTTGATTAGGTTCCACTTATAGGTGAAATCATATGGTATTTGTCTTTTACCACCTGGCTTATTTCACTTAGCATAGTGCTCTCCAGATCTATCCATCAGCATGCATCTTTTAAAAAACTTATCAAAATTAGCAAATTTTTCTGCAGCCACTTAAATATTGAAGATAGAAGAAGATATGCAACATTTTCGGCATATTATGCTTTATTGTTACAAGAACAAATGCAACTGAAACACCAAAAAAGATCTATTGCAGTATATGGAGGAGGTGCTATGACTGATCGAACGTGTCAAAAGTGATTTGCAAAGTTTCTTGGTACTATTGACTTTTTGGCCAAACAATTCTTTGCTGTGGGGCCGTCTTCTGCATTGGAAAACATTTAGCAGCACCCCTGGCCTCTACCCACTAGAAACCAATAGCAGGAGATAGCCAACATACTCAAAATATCCAAATCAATGGTTATTGGTGAAAATGAAAAATGTGTCTTTTATTTTACAGAAAAAATTAAATGGACTTTTTGGCCAACCCAATACTTTAAAAGTCTTTCCAAAACTGTAAAAACATGCTACACGTAGTACTTTTTCAAAGAGTGGCCAATTAATGTTACTGATCAATGTAAAACTGCAACTGAAGTCTCACATCTGGTTTATAATACAGAGAATCCTCTCCAGCTAATCATCAAAAACTGAAACGTCTGCCAAACCTTACCACCAACCTTGTAACTGGACTGTAGAGGAAGGCTGATGTGGCAATATAATGTAAGTTACTCCTGAATTATTACTATTAACTCTAATCACATAGGAAATTAGTTATTTGCTTCATTAAACAAAGTGTCTGTAGTAACATCTTTGCACTTCAGAGTTACAGTAACAGCAAAAGTAGGACTATGGATTTCTTCCTTCTCTTAGTGTCTGAGAATGATCAGACATTTTCTAGAATTGAGAGCACAGCTCCTCTGGTAAGTACTCAGAGAAGGAAACATCTTAATATTTGAATGGCTGCGCTCTCCAGTTTTATGAGATGATCAATAGGTATGTGAAGAATGGAATAATAAACACAGAATAGCCCCAGTTGGTGTGGCTCAGTGGATTGAGTGCTGGCCTGTGAACTAAAGGATTACCGGTTCGATTCCCAGTCAGGGTACATGCCTGGGTTGCGGGCCAGGTCCCCAGTCATGGCCTGTGAGAAACAACCAATGGATGTATCTCTTGCACATCGATGTTTCTCTCCTTCCCTCCCCTCCCCTCACTCTAAAAAATATAAATAAAATCTTAAAAAAAATAAATACAGAATAAAGAATCCTTGGTTTCTCTACAGCTTAATGGTCACGTGCTTGAAAACTCACAAAATTCTACCCTGTGACCTCTCAGTCCCTCTGCTCTTCCCCACCCCCACTTCCCCAACCCCATTCTGCTCTGCCATGCTGTGCTCTGAAGAGTCACCTGCCATCTGCCCCAGCAAGTGGCTTTGCTGGGCTCTTGGAGCATGCCACTGCTTCAATCAAGGGGTCCACATGGGCAGCAGTCTATGACCTGTACAGTACCTATGATTACACAGTTCCACTCGTGGAGAAAACCCCGGTGAAAACCGACACTCATACAGCTCTTTCTTCTCAGTGGTATGGAAGAGTAGCTTTGTGTTCTGGCATGGCTGCAAAAATACTTCATAGATACAGGAACTGGCATCATAAAGAAAGATTATAGAGGAAATATTGTTGTTGTACTGTTTAATTTTGGCAAAGAAAAGCTTGAAGTAAAAAAGGGTGACCAAACTGCCCAGCTCATTTGTGCACTGACTTTTTATCCAGAAATAGAGAAAGTTCAACATCTGGACAACACTAAAAAAGATTCAGGAGGTTTCAGTCCCACTGTAAAGATTAAAATTGATGCCAAGAATAGAAAAATGAAAAAATGTACTTTTTTTCTTAAAAATAAAGAGCTTTTCTTTACTGTTTTGCACTTTTGTAAACTTAATAGCTCTAGCTTCTAAAAATATTTGGTTCTCTTATATCAAGGAAAAGGTACTCTGTTGGGATCACACAGAACTTTACTTTCTTTTGTTTTTCTACATTTGATTGTTATAAAAATCTGCAGGATAACCTAATACAGTTTCCTTTTCAATCAAATGTACATCAATTACAGATTCTCCCTGCCCCAGAACTGTATTATTTAATTCACTAAATGCTACCCCTCAACAACTTATTTTTTGATTACTCTGTAAATCACAAGCAAAGCCTTTCATTCAGTAAATTTTAATTCTTTCACAGATACAAATTATTATACAAACTGAACTAAAACCATAAAAAATTAAAATTAAAAAACTTCACAAAATCTAAATTTAAAGTAAACACACATAAGCAAAATAAAGAAGCAAGTAGTCTTCTTAAATTATCCCTTATGCCACAGTGCAAAACATTACTAGTCCTGAGGATTTTTAGTATCTGGTGAACATAAGAGAGAATCATGTATGCTCAGGAAGAAAATAATCCTGGTTCACATAATTTATATATTTCTATGGTTAACAACTCACAGGAAAAGCAGAGAAAAAGAACAACAGTGGGAGCAATACTTACACACAAAGGTCTCTACGTGTGTGCACAAGTCGCCACATTTAGGACAACGCAGCTGGTTTCCGCCTTTCCCAGAATTCCCAGAGCCCGATTTTTTACTGCTTCCCTCACTCACTGATTTCTAATGTTTATAGAGAAGGAAAAAAAGAGAGTGTCAGTTATTACTTTCAGGCAACCACTTCATATGTAGATTTAAATAGAAACAGTATAGTTTATAATTAATCTTTTAATTTTTACAATTTCTGGAATGGAATTATTTGTATATCTCTACTATTGCTGGCACATACATGTAGGTATGTGCCAGAATGTATAATAAATAGCCTTCTTTCAATGACTCAGTAAGAACTAGGTGAAAAAATGACTCTAAGTCAAAAACTACATTTCAATGAAACTGAATTGGGAGTCATTATCATAGCAAGTAGCAATTCTAACCTTTCTTGAATCTAACTTTTTCATCTCCAAAATGAAGTTATCACCTACTTCAGGAAGTCACTCTTAGGATTAAATCTGAATATGACAGCACCGAGCATTTGTCTCGCATATTAGCTCAAGTGTCAGTCAAATTTACATAATAAACAAAACGGATAATTCACTGACCCAATACAATCACCAATCATCTACTTGCTAGCTACAGAGTAGCCCAGCACTGTCATAGAGATATCCAAGATTTTTAAGTAGAGGATTTAGTGGGGTTTACACTAAATATATTATGAGTTATAAAAGTTGTGGGAAAGGAGGAAATGATGGCTATTCCTAAAATTCAACCCGACTGACTACATGGGTTATTTAAGCTTCTTTACCACTTTGGGGTGTTATTTTTTTTTTTCTCAAATCCTCACCCAAGAGTGTAATTATTGATTTCAGAGAGAGAGAGAAAAAAAAAAAACCTCAGTGTGAGAGAGAAATATCAATCAGTTGCCTCCCATCCACACCCCAGCTGGGGATTGAACCTGCAACCTAGGTTATGTGCCCTGACCAGGGCAATCCTTTGGTATACAGAGATGACACTCCAACCAAATGAACCACCTGGCCAGGGTTGGGGTGTTAAAACTTTTAATTATGGCTTACTAAGTACAATGCTTATAAAACTATTTTATAGTTCAAACTGAAACACAAAATAAAATTACATAAAATTCTTCAGATCATTTTACATATTTCACATTTCCCACGGAAAACATATAAGCTAGTGGGATACTGAGCACTATTATTATATTTCATTGTTTAAAGGAGGGAACTCAAGTACGTGTACAAACGCCAATAAAGATAAAATACCTTATTTCCATCTCCAGAACCATCTTTACTTATCCCATCTTTTGAGGCTAAGTATGCTGGTGTTCCTGTAAAGGTTCTGAAAGGAACTCTTCGTAGAACCTGAGTTTCAAAGGTCCCAAGCCTTCCTAAAACAAGTATATGAACGTGACCACAAGAAATACCTGAAAATATGATAAAATGTATTAGTCCATATATCAAATATTAACATTCTTTCAATAAATCCCTTGGAAACAAAAATTCCTTAAGCATAAGAGACTGAAAAAGCTGTAATTTTCACAGTAGCAGCACAAATTGGTAAAGAAAGTAGTGGTATCATCAGAGGCAAAGCCTGCTCAAAAACAGGCCAGATTTGGGCCTTGGACAGAATCCAGGTCAACAAAGATGTTTTCTTCCTCCCAGGACTGTCCTTTAGAAGTGAGGAAAGATCATCGAGGTCATAATAATGAGTGACTCTTTCAAAGTTTGAAATAAGTAATTCATTATCAGCCTCACTTGTAGGGGGGGAAGGCTTTTATGTCCTATATTCTTATTCTTCTTATATTATTTCTACCAATGAGAGTAAGCAATTGACATGAATCCTTATCTGTCTCTCTGGTTATACTGGGGTAGTATCTGCAACAGTAGAAAGAAACATCAAATGTTCTTTAAAAAGTTAATGTGCTGTTCATTAAAACACACGTTTTAATGATTTCAATCCTACAGAAAGCGTATAATTCAGTGAATACTGTGTAACCACCACCCACCATTCTGCTTTCAAAGATTTTTAACCTTCTAATATCAAGTTAAAATTCTTTCAAAGAATATAGGTTATTATTTAGTGAACTTTTTCTGTAGAGGACCAGAGTAGTAAACATTTTCAGCTTGGTAGGCCATGCAGTCTCAGTCCCAACTACTCTGCCTCTGACAGGAACGTAAATGTAAGTAATATGTAAACCAATGGATATGACTAGATTTGGTCCAGGGGGGTCACTGCTTGCTCACCCCTGGTTTTTCTTATCTAAATACAAAATAAACCCCAAAATAAATTATAGGCAATGGCAAAAGAGCCATACTGCATAGAATGAGGCCGCATTTACCAAGCTGGTCTTTAAAAGTGTTCTCTACACAAGAAAATTGAATGGCTCTAGGTAAAGCAAAATTCCATAGATTTCAGTACTGTAAGGATACTTAGAACCTTGCATAAGCTAACATACATTAATGAATTACCAGGAGAGAAGTTTCCCACCAGTTTACTAGAGCGCTGTTAGAAGGTAATCAGGTAACCAACACAAGGCGTATGTGTGTTAATGTTAGTATTTCAATAAATTTAAGAAACTGGTTTTTGCCTTCCTAATTTTATTCCCTGCAAAATTCTCAACTCAGGCTTTAAATTTTTATTTCTACACCTGTTAAAACTTTTAAGAGATCATGCACATAGGTAAGTATTGCATCCAAAGGCAAAAACTGGTTTAAACTTATCTCCTTCAAACAAGTCAAAAACAATTGCTTAGTTATAACTGGTTTTATTAATTTCAATTTTCCAACAGTGTATAATATTAGAACAACTAGTTTCTTTAGTTATTTATTACCCTAGGCCAGAAATTTTCAAGTGGTGTGACAAAATAATTTTTAAAACATGCAAAACCTAAAAAAAAAAAAAGCAGTTATCTGAATATTTAGTTAGGGGCACTGACCTCTTCTCCCTTAGACTGTCAAATTTAAAAAGTGACAACAGCCAATACAACAATAGCAGCCCACTGTGAATGCCATCTTGAACCACAAATATATAGGTCATATAATATAACTGCACCTTATTGGTCATGTTGCATAATAAGGTTGCATCTGATTGGTTAATTCTTGGTACCAGAAATCCTTATATACAAGTATAAGCATCTGATTTTTTAAAAAAGTTACTTTGGAGCAAAAAAGGTAAGTAATTACTTTCTTTTTAATAAATCAATCAAAATTATATTTACTTTTTGTCAGATCAGCAAAAAACATTTTTTGGTGTGCCACAGAATTTTAGTAATTAGTTTGTATGTGGCATGAGATGAAAAGGTTGAAAATCACTGTCCTAGGCCATCACCTGTTCCATAAAGTACAAAAATGAGCCCACCAAACTTCTCAGAAAAGATACAAATAAGGAACAACTTGTCTCATCTCTATATAAATTTACAAAAAATACCAAAAAAGGTTTAAGGTTTAGGACACCTCAGTCCCTAATCCATAAACTGTAAAATTTTGCTTAACACTATTAAGCCTGAATATTTAGGGGGAAAATATTTGATGATTTTAAGTAACATTTTCTTTTTCTTTTTTTTAAATATATTTTATTGATTATGCTATTACAGTTGTCCCATTTTCCCCCCTTCACTCCCCTCCACCCTGTACACCCTCTCCCACCCATATCCCCCCCTTTAGTCATGTCCATGTGTCATACGTATAAGTTCCTCAGCTTCTACATTTCCCATACTATTCTTACCCTCCCCCTATTTTCAACCTACAATCTACACTACTTATTCTCTGTACCTTTTCCCCCTCTCTCCTCCTCCCACTCCCCTGTTGCTAACCCTCCATGTGATCTCCATTTCTGTGGTTCTGTTCCTGTTCTAGTTGTTTGCTTAGTTTCTTTTGGTTTTGCTTTAGGTGTGGTTGTTCATAATTGTGAGTTTGCTGTCCTTTTGCTATACGTTTTTTTTTTATCTTCTTTTCTTAGGTAAGTCCCTTTAACATTTCATAAAATAAGTGCTTGGTGATGATGAACTCCTTTAACTTGACCTTATCTGAGAAACACTTTATCTGCCCTTCCATTCTAAATGAAAGCTTTGCTGGATAGAGTAATCTGGAATATAGGTCCTTGTGTTTCATGACCTTGGAATACTTCTTTCTAGCCCCTTCTTGCCTATAAGGTCTCTTTTGAGAAATCAGCTGACAGTCTGATGGGAACTCCTTTGTTGGTTACTATCCCCTTATTTCTTGCTGCTTCTAGGATTCTCTCCTTCATTTTTACCTTGGCTAATGTAATTATGATGTGCCTTGGTGTGTTTCTTATTGTGTCCAATTTCTTTGGGGCTCTCTGAGCTTCCTGGATTTCCTGGAAGTCTATTTCCTTTGCCAGAATAGGGAAGTTCTCCTTTATTATTTGTTCAAATACATGTTCAATCTGTTGCTTTTCCTCTTCCCCTTCTGGTACCCCTATAATTTGGATGTTGGAACGTTTAAAGATGTCCTGGAGATTCCTAAGCTTCTTGTTTTTTTGAATTCTTATTTCTCCATTCTTTCCTGTTTGGTTGTTTTTTTCTTCCTTCTGGTCCACTCTATTGTTTTGAGTCCCAGTTTCCTTCCCATCACTATTGGTTCTCTGTGCATCTGCCTTCATCTCTTTTATGGTAACCTGCATTTTTTCATCTAATTTGCGCCCAAAATCAACCAATTCTGTGAGCTTCCTGATCACCAGTGTTTTGAACTGTGCATCTGATAGACTGGCTATCTCTTGGTCGCTCAAAAGGATGAGTCCGGGGGCATCGGTCTGTTCTTCTGTTTGAGACATGTCTCTCTCTCTTTTTTTTGGTCTGGTCACTTCTGTTACGGTGAGGGGCGGAGCCTTAGGTGTTCACCAGGGCTGGGCACCCTAGTCGCTAGATTGTGATGTTCTATGTGGGGGCAGGGGCAGGGGCAGGTGGGAACAATGGCAGTCGCTCCGTTCTCCTGGAACCTCAGTCCCTTCTCTGGGATCCTGGGTTGTGCGCTCTGCCCTGGTCCACACTCGCCGCATCACTGGGTCCGCCAGCTGCCGCTTGCGTACTCAGGGTCCACCCGCTGCGATCTTGAGCGCCCCAGATGCCTTACGCACTCCCGGTTGCTTTATATGCCCAGTTCTCCCTATTCTCTGCGCTCCTCGACCCGAGCCGGCTGCTCCTCTCTGCCCCTCCTACCGATCTGGATGAACGGGTCTACTTCAACTTCTTGGCTGTCCGACTTCCATTCAGATAAATTCTCTGTCAGTTCTGGGTGTTATTCTGAGTGCTATTCTGAATTGTTGTTCTAATCTTGGTTGTGCATAGAGGTACGGTGCGTCCAGCTATGCCTCCATCTTGCCGGAAGTCCGATTTTAAGTAACTTTTTCAAAAGACATTTCAAATTTTCTCAAGTGTAACATTTCCATTTTTGCAGTAAATGACAATAGCCATTATTCTCTCATTAGAGATTTAAGGTAGTTCATAAATTTTTTAGTTTTTTTTAAGTTTTATTTATTTTTAGAGAGGGGGAAGGGAGGAAGAGGAGAGAAACATCAATGTGTGGTTTTCTCTTGTGCGCCCCCTATGGGGGACCTGGCCCACAACCCAGGCATGTGCCCTGACTGGAAATCCAACAGGTGGCCCCTTGGTTTGTAGGCTGTTGCTCAATCCAGTGAGTCACACCAGCCAGGGCAATAGTTCATAAATTTTAAGCTAAACATTGATGTTTTTCCAAGAATATATATGATTTAAGGACTATGACAATATAAAAAGCAAGTCTAAAAAAATTAATGGGGGAGAGGGACAGACGAAATCATGAATGCTGGGTGATGGTTATTTGGCGGTTCATTCTATTTTGTGTGTTTGAAAACATTCATAATAAGAATATGAAAGGTAGCAAAATAAAATTATAATCTATGTAACAAGTATAACTTTTTAATTAGGCCATTACAATGTATTCACAAAGAAAACTACAATTATAACAAAATTATGTGAGGCTATTTGAATTTGGATGTTTGGAACAAAATAACCCTGAATTATCACATACAGTACATTATTTCCCACATAATAAAATACATCTTTTAAAATAGCATTTAACAATTTACAATATCTAATATTAGAAGATAAGCTGAAAAGAAACTATCTTTGGGGATTTAAGAGATATAAAAATTACAAACATAATCCTTTTAAAGTCTACTTAAAAAGAAAGAAAAATAAGTCCTCCCCCTTAAATACCTTGTCAGGTTAACAGATGAGACCAATGCAATCATATAGTCACCACAGAAAATACTACCTGAAAAATAGGTTTGTGTCATTCAAACTTCTAAATTCAAGAATTTCTTTGCCGATCCTAATGGTATGGTACTGTACTGCTGTTTTAGCTTTCTATAATCTATGAGCTATACCAACAAGACGCCATGAATAACCATGTGGTTCTCAAACTTGAGCATGCATCAGAATCATGAAGAGGGCTTGTTAAGGCACAGATTGCTGGGCCAGCCCCTAGAGTCTTTGATTTCATAGATGTGATTTCTAATTAGTTCCCAGGTGATGCTGATGCTGCTGGTCTGGGGACCACACTTTTTAAACCACTGTACTAAACAATTTAAATAACCAGTCACTCACCACTCAGTAAATCTTTACAGAAATCACTGCAGCAAACTAATCAGGAATTTTAAATCTTTTTGTGCCTTGAACCACTTTGGCAGTCTGGTGAAGCCTATGGACAGGCCCCTTGTCAGAATGTTTTTAAATGTAAAGAATAAAATACATAAGAAACCAATTATACTAGTTACCAAAATATTTTTAAAATATTCTTGTTTACTAACAAAGTTAAGTAAGATCTAACAGCTCTTTTAGTAACTACCATGATCTCAAAGGTATGAAAAGGATAAACAATATTTTGAGATGTGGGCAACTGTACTGTGACATAAAAACATTCATGATTCTGACTGGTGATAAGTTCATAAATGCTGCTACTACTGTGGTTTGTTCCCTACATTCAGAATTGAAGGACATGCTGTTATTTCACATCAAGTTTAGTGAAATAAAGTTCACAGAACCTCTGCGTTCTATTCCTAGACACCTTTGGTGGCCTGTAAACCCTGAATGAAAAAACCCTAAAAGCCTAAAAGGGAAGTATTTCTCTCAAGTGTATTTCGAAAGACTACTTGGCAGCAATGACAGGAGACAGTTAAAAGCTAAACCACTTACAAAACTTCTGCCTTACAGATAAAGCTTTCTGAGCTTAAGAACAACTGTTTTTAAATAGAAACATTAGAATAAGGTACACTTATTTGGGGGCTATTAAAAATTAGGAGTTATTCAACTTTTATATATTTGACTGCTTATATTCAATCTTAAATTAAGCATTCTCCAAAAACAAATGATTCAGTTTAAAAGATAAACCAATCTTTAATCTATATTTTAGAAATAGAGTGAAAGAACTAATGAAAACCGTTAAATTATCTATTTACAGTGACAATATGTGAGTGTGTAACAATTGATGAAATGGCAAATCAAGGTAAATGCTCACTTAAATGCTTGGCCTCTAACCTCTAACACAAATTGGGAAAAAATTCAAAGCTCACAAATAAAACCAGCAACTTAGTACATGCTTATTGCTTTTATTAGCCTCAAAATTTCATTGTATGCCCAGGTTATTGTTTCAAGAATTTGGAATACTTCTTAATAAAGAAAAATAACATCACTCCTATGACAGTCTTCTTTCTTCAAGTTTAAACATGTTTTATGGATTTTCACTAAGGCTAGTCTGCTGCTCTGAAGATGAATATGCCAAGAAAAGAGAAATGCTGATTAAAAAATAGTTTGCAATAAAGATGCTTTATCATTTCACTTTGCCTTATGTAAATTGTACTGAATTTACCTGCAGAGAGAGAATTAAAATTAAAGTCTAGGCACAGTATGTAACTATCATAAAAATTATGAACAACATGTTTGGGCATCTTCACATCATGACATTCTCATGAGGTGACACCTTTTAAACAGATAAAGGCAGAAAGCATGCGATCCCTCAATTCTCACAGCCAAATTCAGACCAAATATTGTCATTCTAGAATCAAGCACTTCTGAACACACATATTTAGAAAATAAATTGTTACATATAAAAAGCACATTTAAAAAAATATACATTAAAATTGAAAAATACCAACAGCTTGGATAAAAAGTTTTTTTAAAAATTTCTACTCTACAGATTTCATATTCAAAGAAACTAATGAGGAAAAACACATTAAATTGGGAATACATAGTCCATCAGGAAAAGAAAATAAATCAGGTCTAGTATGACAATTTACCAAGTAATTTTTCAAACTACATACAAAATTTTTAAAGTTTAACATGACAGACCAATGGAAATAAAGAATAACATTATACTTCAGAGGAGCGCTGAAATATCCCCTTTTATTCTTAATTCATTTTACAATTTGTTAGAAGACTGTTCTGATCAAGTTTTTTTGTTTTTATTAATGTTGAAATTTTTATTATTTTTATTTTTTCCATCACACATCACACATTTATCTGCCACACACCCTCTTCCACCTCCAGCCACCCCCCTTTCCCCCACAATGTTTAAATTCTTTACTATGTATGAGAATAATAAAGCTCAACTCTGATTTTTCTACCTTTTGCCTTCCTTCCTCTTTCCAGGAATCTTAAATAAAAATAATCCTCCTGGAGTTTTTTAAATAGCTCTGTATTTTTATAGACTTTTAGAGTCTCTACTATGGAAAACAAACATTTTTGTAATTAAATCTTGGGAAAAGTCTTAAAACAATGTGAAAACCATTTTTCTATTTGTCATGTAAAAATACTAAGTTTTATCATGATCTTGAACACACACATACTTTATTCACTCCCAGAAACAATATTATTCTTTGTCAACTATACTAAATTTAAACTTGAAGGTGACGACTTGTTCACCACTCTATCTTCAGCACCAAAACAGAACCTGCCACACAGTTGGCCCTCAACTAAACATCTGTCACTTTCAAGTGCCTGTAACTCAAATTCCTGGAATAGGGAGATCCGCTTGTTCCGGTTTAACAAGGTCTTGGGACTAAATACACTCCTTTACATTCATGTATCATTTTTCTAAAAGTGCTTCTGCCCACATTTTCAATTAATTCCTCCGTGAAATAAACTGTCAGAAAATGTACATTATTAAACAATAAAAAAGTTATAATTATCCTAAAATTTAGGAAAAGGAGACTTTTTTATTTATCCAAGAGTCATAAGCTGACAAACCAAACGAATCTGTCTAGAAGATAGTTATCATATCAGGATCTAGCCTCACAGTCTGATATTCACAGATTTGGGGAAGAGAAAAAATGGTTTGTTTTCTGAAACCTCCTGGCTGGAATGCCACTTTCACGGCTCCTCGTAAACAGAAAGAACAGGTAAACCAGCGCCACCCTTAAGAAACTACTGGGACTGTCAAGTTGGAAAAACACCTGAGACAACTCAGTACTTAAACAATTTCTCTGAGAATCTCCCCAATCTCTCTGCAGCTTCACTGTGGGCTCGGGAAGGTTTTCGGGCGCCGGGAGGTATTCTGAGACCTGCTTCTGTCCCGGCCTCAGCGGCCGCACACTGACAGTGACACCGCGGGACGCGCGCGGCCTGCGTCCGGGGCTGGGCTCGGCGCCCCGCGAGGCCCAGACAGTGGCAACCCCTTACCGGAGCCCTACTCTGAGCTCCCCACAGGCCCGAGGGGAACCCCCTCGCGCTCCGGAAGAGGAAGAGCAGTTTTTGGAGGAGATCTGAGTAGGGCCTGGGGACATTTTTAACGAAAGGAAGAGCATTTTGTGCCTTTCAGGGTTTCTGCAAAGTGGCCACATTCCAGCCCTAGAGTCCGGAGACGTAAAAGTGCGCGGGCGGGGGAGCACTGGGTTTTACTTCAAAAGTGAGAAACAGCTGCTGAAGGCTTGGCAGAGCCCCAGTCCAAGGGACAAGGGGAGGGGGAGGCTGCCAGGCGAAGCACTGCGCATCGCTCACATACTCGCGGTGGGGTAGGCCTCTGGCTCTCCCCGGGGTCCCCACCGCCAGCCGCCACACTCCTGGCCCCGTGGCTCAGGCGAGGTACTACTTCGTTACCTCTCTGCGCGGAGGCGAGCGAGGAAGTGATGAGCCGCGCGGCGACAGCCCCGCAACTAGCGCCGCAGCCGGACATCTCCGCGGGGCCTAGGTCGGGGCTTCTGCCCCTACTGTCCTCCGAGTCTCAATGGCCGGACTCCTACTGGCAAGGCACGCCGACTAGGCTCCGGAGCCGCTCGCTGACCCTAAGCCTAGGGCAGAGTTCACCCGTCTGCCCGTCAGGCCTTCGGGTTCCTAGAGGCCCACTGCTGTCTACCCAATACAGTAGACATCTAACCCCTCACCCTCCCTCCCCTCTCTTCCTTCCCCATCCCCCCCCACCCCCGCCCTCAGTACCCGCCTACTGGGCCCCGGGAGCGTGCGCGCGCCTGCGTCCTAGGTCTAGGAAGAGGGCGTCGGCACCTGCTGCGTGTTTGTACGTGGGACACAGACGAGTGGAGAGGGGAAGAGGGCGGAGACCTAGGGGCCAATGAGCACTGCGGTGGCTGGCCCTAACTGCGAGAACTACAAGTCCCGAGAGGCAGTTCTTCCGGAAGCCCCCTTATCCTAGCGTTGAAAATTACGGGATAGGCATAGGGAGGCCCAAGCCGGGAGTTGTAGTCTCAACCCGTCACAATAAAGTCCTTCTGGTCATTTTCAGTTTGTGTAAGGGAAGATGAAAGTGGGGCGGGCGGCTTAAGCGCCTCGCCAGATGCAATTAAATGAATTCCTTTGGGACTCCACATCGTGTGCTCCTTATTTGCCTTAGTTTCGTCAATTGTAACATAGAAGTGGTATTTTTACCTAGCCCCCCTAGCAACAACTGTTGGATGTCAGCTCTCTGTGTTTTCAAACCATTGGTGATAACTCGGCAGGCAGCGGTTGCTAGTCCCTGGCTGCATTACAGTCCTTTATCGGTTCCCTAAACCTTGACCACACCCTGGTAAATCGTTCCTTCATTAACTCTTCTGTTACGCATTGACTCTTCTGTCTGCATGACTGCCTCCTCTCTGGACAGCTAAAGCAGATGCCCCTGTACAAAGTGGAGGATGGTGACAGATTAATCGGGATCTTTTCCCATCTGAGTTGGTGCCAGACTGAATATTGGAGTTTTAAAATTCTGATTAACAAGCCCAGAGAAATGACCAGGTGAACTTGGATGCTTCTAGTTCTGCGCTTGAGGGAGTGGGGAGGGAGTTAGGCAAGCTAGAGTCAACATTAGGTCACACAAGTTATTTAACCTTCATCGGTCTTTAAAAAAAAAAAAAGACTATATTTTTAGAGAGAGGGGAAGGGAAGGAGAGAGGAAGAGAATCATCCATATGTGGTTGCCTCTCACACACCCCTCACTGGGGACCTGGCTGGTGACCCAGGCATGTGCCCTAACTGAGAATTGAACCAGTGACCCTTTGGTTTGCAGGCCCTCGCTCAATCCACTGAGCTAAACCAGCCAGGGCAGTTTTCATCAATCTTGGATCAGAGAAATGTGGCTTCTAGTTCCACAGGTTTGGCCATGAGAAGGGGCATTGGCCTTGGCCAAGGCGGTGCGTGTTGTGCCTGTTGTATTTTTTTTCCTCTCTGGGAGAGCTCACTGCTGGTACTTCCTCAGTTTAAAATGGCAGACACCAGAACAGAACCCATGTCTTCGTCAGCTGCCTTCATTAACAGAACTTTGAGAAAGGAGAGGCTCTAAAGTTCTCTCAATACAGTGTTATCAAATTGTGTTCTTAGAATCCATCAGAAGCCATAGCTCTGTGGTGGGGGTGAGGGGATTAAGAGGGTGGACCTCCCCTGTCTCCTCCTTCGTGCCACTCCAAAATCAAACAGAGCAGCTCTGCTTTTATCTGTTTCATGTATTGGGCTTTTGTTTGAAAATTGAGTTCTTCTGCTTTAAAACAATGTTTCAAAACCATTGATTCCAGGACAAACCTCTCCTTTTAGCAGTGACCTGAGCAGGTGGCATGGACCCTAACAGCCAATATAAATATTCATCCCACCCTACCTTCGATTTCAATTATATGCACACTTCCTTCTTCTTATATAAATAAAGGAATTGTTTGCTAAAAACAACTTGCTATATATAGGTTGCTATACAGCAAGCTGAATAAACGCTTGGTGAACTCAAGGCTCATCTGGGGGCACTCATGGAGCTTTCCCTTCTCTGTCTGTTCTGATCTTTTTTTTTTTTCAATCCTCACCCAAGGATATGCTTGCTTTTAGAGAGAAAAGAAGGAAGAGAGGGAGGGAGAGAGAGAGATCAATTAGTTGCCTCCCATATGCTCCCCAACTGGCGATTGAACCCGAAACCTAGGTATGTGCCCTGACTGGGGTTGAAACCTCGCAGTCATTCAGTGTATGGATTGATGTTCCAACCAACTACCCACCCAGGGCTATTCTAAAATCTTGACTTCTCACTCATTCAGTCAATAACTATTTTTTGAACACCACTTATATGCTGGGTACTAAGGAAATAACATTGAGCCAAAAAACATTGCCTTTGTGAAGCTTCCATCCTAGTGGGGAAATATGAAACAGTAAGTGAAAAAATATATATATGCCACTGGTATGATGACATAGGAATATCCTTATATTGTTATGTAATGTGTTGTCATGTTATTCCCAGGACAACTGAGCATTTCATTTTATGTATGGGCTGATATTTTCTGTGTTTGGCCTGTATCCGAAATGAACTATGAGCTTTTTGAAAGCAAATGTTTTTATTACATACTTGGACTGAATATTTGGTAGAAATTAAAAAGTACTTCATGAAATACTTATCCTGCAACAATACTTTTGTTTAGCCTGGGATGGTATTTTCAGAAAATCCTACATATAATCAGAGCAAATTATAATTGACAAAGAGGTGAGTGTTAATAGACACAAATTCCACAAATTTATACAATAGTTAATCTAACTGACTGAGTGACCCAGAAGGAATTCCCAGGAGACTCCTGATTAGCAGAGTGTAGACTTTGCCCTAGAAAGTGCAAAACAAGGGAGGCTGTACACAACTATTTAACTTTTTCTCAATAATGTGGGCAAGGGTCATGTGGCTGTGGCATCAGACCAGCGATGATTGCATCATACAGGCAACATGATTTTGGTCATCTCAATGCATTATCCCACAACTCTGCTCTGTGGGTCAGAATGTACCTGGGTTACGAGGATTGGCACCCAGCAGGCATGGATTAGGACACCAACTTCGCTCTAGGCTCTTTGTTGGTGTAAGTCTTATTGTTGTGTTCAAATTGGGGAACTTGTACCATGGGGATATACCAAGACTTAACCTTTGGTATTGGTGTCAAGTTCAAATAAAATAACGTCTGTATTGGAAAGGGTTCAAATGTAAAGGAGCATGTTCCATTTCAGTGTACATTCCCTGACCTGAAATTCACAGGTTGGGACAGTGTCCTGGCCCCAGGGTGTAGCCAGGTAGCAGTGAGATGGAGCAGAGCTTGGCCTCTGGGCAGGTGCACCCCAGGACCCTTCTCTCTCAGTTGGCCCCTCATGGATAACCTCAGGCCAGGATCCTCTGTCAAAAAAGTGATGGCAAATACCTGTGGTCACATCTTATCAGCTCTTTGGGACAAAATACTTTCACATCACACCTACTTTCAGCTCTGTTCTGACAGGTTATTTGATGTTTAAAATAAGAAAGTCAGTTGCAGTTTTCCAGCTCAAATAGTTTCCAGGACCTGATTCCTTATCCTGAATTATTTACCTTTTGTGAACAAGAAAGCTGCAGACACACAACTTTACATGTCTCCATTTACATATAAGCCCTTTTTTCCTTCTGTACTTGATTCTACCTCTCAGGGCTGTGAACATTATGAGTTGCTAAGTGAAAAACGTTTTATAGGTTAGAGTTAGAGAGTCATCCAGTTTAGCACTGGATTTTCAGATGGGGAAAGAGCATATAAAAGAGCAGGAACTTGACCAAGGTCACATAATAAGTCAGAAAAAGAGAAATAAAGTCCAAGCCTCCTGATTTTAAGTGTTTCCCAATCTTTTCCTTTTTAACCTAAGATTCTTTCTGAGAAACAAAAATCTTACCTTCCCTGTTGGGATCCACCCTGCCTGGTTTCAGAAACTGCAACCTCTCCTGGCTAAGGCTGAGTAAAAAGACCTCGGGACCATAAGCCACTTGGGGAGACAAAGCTTATCTTCCTTGTAGGGGTACCGCCTCTGCCCCTTTCAACTCACCTTGTTTGGCCCAGGCAGATGACTGGTTAGCCAATGATGGGTAAGATTCCTCAAAGGAGGGACGACCTAAGACAAGCATGGCTGTGAAGGGGCCCTCAGGGAAGGATTTGGGGGGCTATAGAAAAAGGGGGTGATGGACCCTCACCCCTCGGCTTTGACAGAGCCTGAGTCCTCATTCTGCCTGCAAGAAGTCTCCTAATCTCTTGGCTGCCTTACTTCCCCTGCCTGACTTAAGCCTGAAATAATGCCTTAAGCCTGAAACAATGCCGGTGGTGGATGTCACCCTGTTCTGGAAAGGGCAGGTTCCCTGGGACAATTAGGCCTAAGAAAGGATGCATAAAATCCTAGGAAACCTACTTTGCTAATACCCTCAATTTAAATGATAAGGGTCCAAGCAAGAAGTGAGTTTGTTCCCCAAAGTTTTATGGCCCTTTAACTATCTGACTCTTACTCAGAATAAGCCCTCAACGTTCTTTGAATGATATCTATTATTTAATCATTTCCACCTGCCAATGATTGATGAGCTTTACATATACACTCTATATTCCTATGCAAATTAAACCCAGTAAAAGCCCATTGAGGAACAGGTTACTGGTCCTTCTCCTTTGAGAGATGGGCCACCTTTCCTCCCCAAGCAGATCATGTCTTGGTAGACTTATTCTCATCCTTGGCAGACAGGGGTGCTCTGTGGGCAAAGCTCCCCTACACTTCCCCACCAGAGATTCTGGTATAGCCTCCCAAAGAGCCATCATTCTCTTGGGAATCACTGTATGTTCTGAATAAAGGCATTTCTTTTTCATCACTGAACACCGATCTTTCAGATGCACGGATATTGATTCTGCCAGACACAGGAACTCAACATTTATATTCTAAAGTATAAGGACTAAAAAAATGGCTTATATCTACAGATAGCGTGAGACTCAAAATAATACAACACTGTATAGGACTATATAGAGTGCTTTCATTCTATTCTCATCTGATTCTCACAGCAAATGATGTTATTATTTGCATTCCAGTTTTGCAGCTGAGAAAACAAGACACAGAGGGTTTAAGTGACTTTTCCAAGGCCATGTCAGAACCAGGGCTCACACCTTAATCACTACTGTTTTCATTACTTC